TCCCCCCCCCCCCCCCCCTTCCATTTCAATCTCGAGGATTTCCCAGTTGTTGAAACAGATCCAGCAGATCGAGATCTGGCATTTGAGCACGCAGAGTTCGTTCAGTTACTGGGTTTTCTAGTTCCTTAGAAAAAGATCCAATCTTTGATCAATCAGATTTCTGGGTTCCGTGTATTTTGTGCAATTGAGCTAGTTTTAGTTTCTTAGCGTATCTGTGATTATTGGCTTCAAAGATTTCACATTTGGGTTATGTTTCTCTCTGCAGGAGATACAGAGAGTGATTGTTTGAGCTGAAAGATCGTAGAGAGATGGATAAAGTTTCCATCTTTTGCGTCATTTACTGTTCCATCCTTCTCATTGGCTCATCATCAACCTACGCTAAGACCGCAAGCCCTCCGGCCCCGATCCTTCCCCCGACACCAGCCCCTGCACCTGCACCGGGTCCCCACCACGTCAACCTGACCGAGCTGCTCAGCGTTGCCGGCCCGTTCCACACGTTCCTCGACTACCTCCTCTCGACCAAAGTCATCGACACGTTCCAGAACCAAGCCAACAACACCGAGGAAGGGGTCACCATCTTCGTGCCGAAAGACGAGGCCTTCAAGAACCTGAAGAGCCCTTCTCTGTCGAACCTCACCCAAGATCAGATCAAGCAGCTCCTCCTCTTCCACGCCCTCCCTCATTACTACTCGCTTTCCGACTTCAAGAACCTCAGCCAGACCGGGACAGTGCCCACGTTCGCAGGTGGTCAGTACTCGTTGAACTTCTCCGATGTCTCTGGAACCGTCCAGCTCGATTCCGGCTGGACCAAGACCAAGGTCAGCAGCAGCGTTTACTCGACCGATCCAGTGGCTGTCTACCAAGTGAACCGAGTGCTACTCCCCGAAGCGATCTTTGGTACGGATATTCCCCCAATGGCTGCACCAGCTCCGGCCCCCGCTGTCGGTAGCCCGGCCGATGCTCCCTCAGCCGATTCCGCAGATAAAGCTAACGCCTCTTCCCCAAAGTCCTCTCACAAGAACTCTGCGCATAAAGCTGCTGGCTTTGGAGCTTTCACTGCTTTCATGGCCATGGCGGTTTCTTCTGGTATTCTGGTGTTCTTGTGAGAGAGAGAGAGAAGGGTACGACGATCATTTTGGCGTTCGGAGTTTGAGTCTGCTCCAAGTAAAGAATGCCGAAGACGAAGAGATCTGTATCTTTGAATTGCTTTTGATTCGAAGCCATTTTATTCATTTATACATTTTAAATCGCCATTGTGTATGAGAGAGTGGTCCTAAAGCTTGTTGCTCCAATTTTCCATTTGCTTTTTTGCTTCATTCGATATAAAAAACCGAACAAACTTAATAAAAAAATAACTGAAAAACTAAACCGAAATAAAACCGAATCGAGTTGAATTGAAATTGATATACAAACCGAACATTATAGTTTTTCTATAATCGAAATAACCGAATCGAAACCCGGAATGAGTTTTGGATAGAACTCTTGAGATCGTTTTCAATAATCATGTGATTGAATTAAAAATGGAGGGGATTAATTAATTTTAATACAGTACTAATATGTAATTATGGACAATTTGAATCAAGAAAAGATAACATGTGTAGTGTTTTTTAGGTTCATTTTAAGTTCTATAAACACAAAGAAGAGAGAGACCTTTGGAGTTAAAAACTTAGGAGAGGCTTATCTGTTTTCGAACTAATGGCGTCTCCACTCATGAGACTAACCGCGACGGCCAACGGCGGCGGCGGAGATGCCGTCTACGTGGCGGCAGTGCCGCTGAGAGCGGCGGTAGGTCCGCCGCAGCTGGTCATGTCGACGGCCTTCTCTCTTAATCTCTGGGATTTTCAGCACCTCATGGTCCTTATCAAACCTTCATCTCCTCCTTCAGAGGTTTACTCGTCTCTTTCTTCGCCAATTCCTCGTCCGGGTCTCTCGTAATTTCCATGGAAACGGATTACAAAAAATCATACTTTCATATGTGGTCTCACTTTCTTCGAAATGGGTCGGATATTGGCGGCTGAATTCTCAAAGTTTTTTTTTTGCCGACGATTTGTTTGTGTAAATGCATCAATGAGGTTTTTCTTAAGTTACTGAGGCTTAATTCTTCAGGTCTTCGTGTTTGATTTCCAACCGCGATGCCCAGAGAGCGTAGAAGCTGCAATGGCGGTTCTATCGGGCAAATCGGTTCCAGGTGATTGATTTCAATTTTGCTTTAACCATCTCGATAGTTACAGAACTCAAAAAGACGATCTTGATGTCTTCGTTCTTGGAATTCATTGAATCTTGGTCATCAACTTCCAGTATAGGATTCTTTCAGCTGTTTGGCTAAGTTCTTGAAATGGTTTTAAGTTCTAGAAACTGTTTGAAGATGCTTTTGTTGGGTTAGAAAAAAAAAAGGAAAAGAACATATTATCAAATCTAAATATCACGTAATATTATGGTAATTCATATCACTTGATACATATATGGTTGAAGGCCTTTCACTAAAAGCTAAGAAAGCACTGTAATTATAACATATCCATGTTTTATGTATTAGCAGATTATATAACATGTTGTCATTACGTCTATTGAACTTAAAATTCAGAGCTTTGTTCTGCTTGTTTTAAGGTATTTTTCGTGTGACGAAAGAAAGCAACTCTCTTATCTTCATGAGTTCATCCGGAAACAGTTTCGGCAATTTGTCGGATGCATCTTAAGCTTAAACTTTTTGGTCCAGGAGTCGTGTTGCAGAGAACGCTGAGGAACCTTCCGAGGCGCAAATGCTGGCTTGTCGGATCATCTAAAGGTAACGCCTTGGACATGGCTGCTGTGTTCAACAGCTCGTGGGAAACTGATCTAAGAGTTGGGTATCATGACTGCCGAGATTATACAAACGGTAAGAAGCCCTTTTGCTATCCCCTGTTTTTTTCTTTTCCATTCAAATGCTCGAGCAATCTTGAATTTGATTCTTGGACCAACAGCTTCAAGCTTCTACTCTCTTCTAATATCTCCGAAAACTCAAGCTTCTATCATCTTCGAAATTTCAAGCTTCTGTCATCTTCAAACATTTGTTTTTTCACCTCCTTAGGATCGTATCGAGGGATATAAAAATGTCTTGGAAGATTTTATTTTTATATTTTAGATAATTTAAGATTGTATTCTTCATCTATAACCCTTCCCCTGAGCCCCGTTCAACGGGATGCTTTGTGCACCGGGCTGTTCTTTTTTATTCTACACCTATAATATCGTACATGTTTCTTACATTGGTTCTTGGTTTGATCCAACATAGGATTAGTCGAGCATCTGACCGGAGAAAAGCGAGTGGTGGAGCAGCTAAGAACAAACAACGGTTAAATCCAAGAATCGGCAAACGAATTGGCATCGGACTTGTGCTGGATAATATCGATTACAGGACAAGACAGATCAAGATTCTTGGACACATAACTAAAAGATTATGTTGTGGTTCTTCCTTCCTTATCTTGTTGGTCCAGATTTTAGGGGCAATATTCAACAAAGATTATGGTAATGATCGTGATCAGGAGGGGAGTGGAGTTATCTTGATCAGAAAATGACGTCAACTCGTCCGGTCAACGACTTATGACCGTACAGGACAAGAGAGTCAACGGCCGTTTGACTTTTAGCCCATTGTTTCCTCCCCTTTTGTTTGTGTATCTATATTTATATACATATGTATTTATGTCACGGATTGCTTACGTAGTATACTTATACAATGTCTTTTTATTTTTCTGGTCGCCAAATTCAAAAATCTATAAATATTTGACGATTATGGGAATATAGGTTGATAATTATAGAATAATAGTTTTCCTTGTAGATAAACGGTTGATCAGAAATAAAAAAACGAAATTAGATTAAAATTATTTTGAATAATATAGAATAAAAAAAAATATTCTAAAAAAGAATAGACTGCAAAGCTAAAAAACTACACACTTTATAAAATTATCATTTCCTTTCTTTTTTTATAAATATCATTTCCTTTATTTGATGTGCCATATATATCTTTGTATGTTTATATATATAAAAAAAAGTATTTATTTGCGGATATTGGAATATCACATGTTTTATTTATATTGTGTTTTTATAGTATGTATAGAATTTGATCTAGAGTTTATACGATTTGTTAGCTAAATGGAGAAAAAAAAAATGTTTCCATGATAAACACTATAAAAGCACTCCCCTAGTTGCCCACTTGCAAATCTCCCCACCACTTAAAAAAGCTTAACACACATCTTTCCTTCCTCATCAAGATATCGATTCCACTCCTTCTATCACAAAAAAAAAAAACAATTTAAAAAAAAATCTTGAACTCAGGGGATGTTGCAGATGTTGTCCGTACTCCGACAGAATCTCCAAAACCTCCGGAAGAGCCCACGCGTCGCAGACGAGAGCGCGTTAACGGTGGCTGACGACGGAGGAAGAGGAGACGGTAACGGAAACGGTAACGGCGTTATGAGGATTCCGTCATCGATCATATCGTGCTTTGCGGTGCCGCGTGTCAACGGTACGGACGGGTTGTGGGCGTCGGGTGATTATGCCGCCAGGGTCTCCGAGGTCAACCATCTCATGGTTTGCGATGGCATGAGATACGCTATTTTAATGTAACTTTTATCAAATTTCTTTAAAAAAAAAATAATGAAATGTTAAGGGCGGTCCAAAATCATACATTTTTGTCCTCTAGGTCTGATATATATATATATATATATATACACATGTGCGTGTACATGTATGCGTGTATGCGTATGTGGTGTGTTTGTATGTATGTGAGGAAGAACATTGCGTTTTCTCCTTTTTACTTTTGTTTTTCGCTTTTTACTGCACGGGTAAATCTAGTGATATGCAATGTTTTTTGGTTTCATATATGTATATATGTATATGTATATGTACATGCATATGTATATAATATGTATATGTATATGTATATATATGTATGCTAATAGGAGATCGACAAATGGTTCTGAATTATACAGAACATTAAAAAAATGGCTTTGATCATATTTTGTGTGTAGGAAATAGTTTAAGTTGGATATGTGGAAAGGAATTATAAAATACAAATATTAATTTTTCCTTAATTATATATATATATATATATATATATATATATATATATATATATGTAATCGAGTGTATGACAAGAATATGCGTATCTCCTGTCACTGTGTGTGACGGAGAATTTATTATCTTTTACCAACAAGAACATCATTACATAAAAGCATTTTTATAGACATATATAATAACATTTCATATTTATTCATTTGTAAATTAGGGAATATTTATCTTTTATCCAACATTAGTGGGTAGTTGCCATACTTTGTTTTTTTTATTTTCCTTTATTTGTAACATCATTCGAATAAATTCATCCGGAATTTTCTCACTTTTCACTTTTCAGCAAGTATATAAGTGTGTTTTCTAATATATTTTTTTTTGTTAAAAGGTAATTCTAATATTATGTTTTGGTCCATTATTATTATTATTATCTATTTGATCTAAATCTATTATGAAGTCCAAAATTATTTCCAACAATCATGTATCTATCTCTACATATGCATGATTATACGTCATTTTCATAAAAGATATAGATCTCTATTTCTCCTTCTAGTACTATCTTTCCTTCTAAAATTGGGTTATTTCTTTTTTAAAATTTTAAATAAAATTATTATTCATAAATAAATAAAAATTAAACGTTAGTCCGAATAATACATACTATTTGATATTATTTGGTATTCAATATATTTTTTAGAATTCAAGCTCAGGATTTTACATATCCTTTTAGGGAGGAACATATAATTATAACGGCTATGATATGCATGGACGATATTATATATATATATCACAAAATAATATATTTGATGTATATAAATTCGTCTTAATAAACAAATTATTATTGGTATTGAAGTTAACTACTTATTATTGTTTATCATTATGTTGATAAAAGAAAGTAAAAAATCTAGTGCTACGAATCATGGAGATTGATATTAAAAAAATAACATTTACTTTTATTATGTAGTATTATTTACGCAAATGGTTGAATTTAGGTTTTACCTAACGCCGGGGAAGTGCCCAGAAGGCAGATGACGTGGAAATGTTTATGTCCATATCTAGTGCGATACAGCATAATAAATAATACAGGGATTACAAATATTTTATTTATCAAATTATGAAATTGATTAAATTAATTAAATAAACTTTAATGCAAAAAGAAAAAAGCAAATTGTTATGTCGGGCTGAAGAATCTACGGTCCATAATATATATATATATATATATATATATATATATATATATATATATTATGTGTATGTTACAAGTTTAAGCTAGACATTTTATTATGAAACTATATTTTTGTAATAACCGAAAATATTTGTTATATATGTATACACACACACATTCCAATTAATCAATCAACCACCATCTCTATTGTTAGGATTTTTAATTTTCACCAAATTCCTCTAACAAAAAGAAAATGACTCATTTGAGTTGCATAAAGAAAAGATAAATTCTATTAAAATTCCTAAATTTGTAAATCGGTGGAAAATTATTTTCTAAACTTTTTCTTCGATAAATTTATTTTCAAACTTACAAAATATGTTATTATAATTTTTAAACTTACAAAATATATCAACGTTGTTAAGATTTGTTTTGGTATCAATTAGGAAATTTGATAATTATAATGATATATTTTGAAATTTTGAAAATAAATTTGTCAAACGAAAAGGAATTAGTTTTTCACAATTTTACAAAATTTAGAAATTTGAACGAGATTTATATTTATATATATAAAAAAACAGGTCAAAGCAATTTTGTAAAAGGAACTATAAAATTGATCATACAAAACAGTATTAGAATCTTGTAACTAAGTTAAACCGCATCCCTTTTAATTACTACCAATATTTTGGATTTTCGTTTCTAAAATTTACAAATATATTTTTCATCCATTTAAATTTCCAAATTTGATCAATTATGATAAAAAAAAAATAGCAAAAATGTTACCTCAGTTTCTTTCTTCACAGTTTTGTAACCCCAAAACACAAACACACACAGAAACACTCAAAACATCAAACAACAAAAATCTTTCGGCTAAAACAAGTTTTGTCTGCTTCAGTCTCTCCTCTTATCCGAAAATCCGAATTTTACATCTCACTCAAACTGTCCTATAAAACCATACATACACACATATATATGTATATATGTATATATATATATGAGGAAACTCAATAGTGTTCGTTCGAAATTCGTAAGGAAATCTTGATAGTTGATACTTTCTTCCTCTGCATTAACTATATCCTTCTTTCTGCAAAAAAAGAAAAAAAGAAAAAGGAGAACTAGCTCTCTCTCTCTATGCTACAATCCCTGCAAAGATTTCGAGGCAATGAACAAGAACACTACATTAGTTTTGTAGATTCATGCTTTCTTTGTCGGAATCCAAGACTGGTGGGTTATAAAGGTTTTAGCTTTATATACGTTCTTGATATTTTCATGAAAGGGTATTGAAGCTACTGTGAGGATGATCAGACATGGGTTTTACTTACCTCTGTTTGCTTGTCTTCTGTTGACGGTAATACCACCGACATAATCTTGCGAGCTCTCGGCATTGGCGCCGCTCAGACCATAGCCAAAGGATCTGTCATCTGTTTCCTTTTCTGGTACAGGTGATGGTCGACTCCAGTTGGGTTCACCATAGTTGTTTGAACCGCTGCTGTAGAAGCCGGTCATGGCTGCTGCTGCTTCATCATCGACTCCAGTTGGGTTCACCATAGTTGTTTGACCCGCTGCTGTAAAAGCCGGTCATGGCTGCTGCTGCTTCATCATATCCTCCCATTCCTCCACCATTTGTCGTGGAGAAGGTAACGCCACTTCCATTGTTTCTCGAGTATGGAAAACCGTTATCACCACCTCCATACCCGAAGTTCATGGTGTTGTTATGTGAATCATTTCCACTGCCTTGAACTGATGATAGTGCCGAAGCTCCGCCCCAGTTGAGTCCTCCGCCATTGTTGTGAACGGGTCCAAGAGATTCATTCCCGTTCCCCAATCCCGTGAATTGCCCGGAACTACTGCTGTTTATGTTGTTATAACCGAGTTCTCCTCCATTTCCCCAAAGGTTTCTGGTCACCGAGCTGAAGAACGATGCGTTTCCTCCATTGCTTCCTTCATAACCAACAGAGGAACCTATCCTATTTGTGGTACCGACATAATATGGAGCCATTGTACGATGGCCATATCCGACATCGTTTGTGAAATTTGCAGAACCTCCATAAGCAGTGGCAGCCAGATCTGGACGCGGTTCAAAATTGATACCCATTCCATAACCAGAGCCAAACATGGCAAACCCATTTCTAGAACTGGCAACCGGGTTGAATCTACCATCCATCCGAACTCCATAACCTCCAATCACTCCGGGTCTATACCCATTTAGCAAACTATTGACCCTACTCATACCAGAATTATAGCCACCAAGTGGGCTACGGCTAGGACTGGGAGATAACTCCTTTGGGACAGCACGCTTGACTTCGACCATTTTACCGTTGAGTTCATGGAACGTCTTGACCAATGCTTTGTCCACAGCCTCCTCAGAATCGTACGTGATGAACCCGAAACCTCGAGGCCGTTGGGTGTTATGGTCATACATCACAACAACATCAGTCATTGTCCCGAATTGCTCAAAGTACTTTCTGAAATCAGTCTCTGTGACTGATGAAGCTAGGCCTCCTACAAAAATCTTCCTCGTTCGGCCTCCACCGGGAGAACCCTGGGGGGTGTTGCTGCTATTAGCACTTCTGTTGATAATGTTCTGATCATCTCTAGGGACTGCCTTCTTCGCCTCAACCTTTGGAGAAAGAGCAGAAATCCGATTAATTTCAATCAAGTTATCGAAATCGTCAAGAAGAAGATGAATCTTAGATACATTTTCAAAGTGAGTTTAACACTAACATCCTTCCATAAGCTAAAGCACTGACAGAATTTGATTAAACAGTGGCAAGCCTACCGTCCTTCCATTGATACTGTGTTTCTCCTTGATGACTCTCTCCGCGACAGAGGGATCCGAAAAGACCACGAACCCGAAACCACGAGCACGGCCAGTGCTGCGATCCTTCATGATCAGAGCTTCCACCACCTCCCCGAAATTAGCAAAATACTCCTTGAGACACTCCTCGTTGGTGTCCCATGATATTCCACCTATGAATAGCTTGCCGCTATCTGACTGCATTTCCCCCCTACATTGGCCAAAATACTTTCCTCATGAACACAAAACTACACAAAAGTAAGGCGATCACCTCTCTGAAACACGAGAAGAAGTGGTCCTGAAAGAACAAGTTTTGACATGTTCCATGTATGGAACTGGCATTGGATGGAATCTCAATCCATAATTCTACTAACTACTGGTCGGGAAATTATCATAATCCAGATCAATCTACACGAGAACCCACGAAACGGAACACGGGTTTGATTCAAAATCTTGTCTTGGCAACAGTAAATTCCAATCCGATGAATCCTAAAAAAAACCAAAATGCTGACATATGAACACGAAATCTGCAACCAAAGGCAATACCTTCTGGCAAAAAAAAAACACAAGACAGGAAACACAACGGTGCTCCTATATCCTCGGATTCAAATTCAGACACAGCAGTTCACTTCATCGATCATTCAAAACCAATCACCTTACCTGTAAATAAGACAAATCCAAAGCTATCCCATCACGAACAGCGAAAAAGAAGAAACCCAGGAAGAGAAAAGAAGAGGAAAACGAATTCAACGAGACAGATCGAAATATCGAATCGAGATTAGATAATAAGAAGAAAAAAACCCACCAATCAGATCAAAACCCAGATGCCGGAAGCTCGCTATGATCCAAATAAGGAGCCAAAGAGGGGAAAATCGGTTGCATAAAATGAATGGCTCTCAGATTATCTATCTTTCCCCCTCTTTCTTCCAGTCTGGTCTTACAACATCTATTCCACCAAAATTGCAAGCTTTTCCTTTTCATTTACCAAAAATCAATCGACAGAGACAAAACAGATGCAAGAACTCGCATGCCCATACGAACATGTCTCTGTATGTGTGCGCATATACGCAGTCCTATATAGAGAGAGATAGCAGCATCTTCTGCTACAGAGGGAGGTAGAGAGAGAAGGAAGAGAAGGTGGTGGCGATGGCATGAGTGTCGAATTTATATAGAGAAGGGGGCGATGAAGCGAAGGGGGAGAGAGAGAGAGAGACGTTGATTTTCACTGTTCGGTTTTATTTTTTTTCCTCCAATTAATTTTTTTGTCAGTTCTTTCTTCTTCCATTTTTACTGTTTTACCGTTTCTATGTAACAAAAAAAAAATTATGATAAAATCTTTTTCCGAGGGGCAAAAATACGAGGAGGAGACAGCTCAGAGGAGGCGACATTTGCATGTTCCATTCATTATTTTTCTTTTTTGAAAAAAAAAATAATCAAACAGATCTTGTATTGTCTTGATTTTTTTTTTGTGGAAAATTAAAATATAAATTGTAAAGATTAAGTGGTTTCGGGACCAATAATTTTCGTTTAAAGCTGTATTTTCAATTATTTATTTTCCGAAAACAAAAAATAAATAATATCCCTTGTCATAATCCAATTCTAAGCCCACTTGAGTCTGTCTCTCTTATGCGGGTTCAGAATTTACAGTGTAATTGTAAAAAAAAAATCTGTTTATATTAATTAATATGAGTCAGTTTAAGCTGTTATTAAATAAATGTTGGTATATTTAGAACTTTTATTTGATTGTAGTATTTGCATTTATATATTTTAATTTTAAAAACTGAATCTCCTCATTTACTCCATTTTATTTATTTTAAAAATGAGCTCCTAAAACAATCCATTATCATTCTATTTTTAAATTATTTTATATTTTTTTTACATTGAATAAATTTACTTAGACTTAAAATTATGTACAATCAATTTTAAATGGAATTTAAAAATTGTTTAATTCGTTGTAGTATATATGAACCATAACGATGAATAAAACAAACCGGTAGTTATACGAAACAATGATATAAAACTATAATGTCAATTATAATTCATTTGAAACAATAAAATATCTAAACAATCTATTAATTTTCTAAAAACATTCAATTAAAATATTAATTATTTATAATTATAAATAAATTAGTTTTTACAACATTATTAAATAATACTATATTTATTACTTTATCTATTTTAGTTTACATTTACAATTATTTTTAAATGTAAAGTAGTATTATAAATATATTTATATTTAATGAGAAACAAATAATTAATAAAATTACATATTTTTTAGATTTTTTTTTAAAAAAATACAACTTTACTTAAATTTTTTAATAATTTTATTTTATTTTCAGTTTTTTAAAGTTAATTTTGTAAAGATTTTTTCGTAATGTAATATCGGGTTTATCATTTATATATTCAAATAGTAGAGGTAATCTCATTATTGTTTCATCTTCTTTTTTTATTAATCGGTTTAAATCTCAAGAGAAACTGCGATTAAAAAATTAGTATGTGATTTTGATTTCTAGATGGTGAATGATATGTTAAAAATAATTAGATAAATTATATTAATTTCAAATACATGTATTAGTTAAAAATTATTCAATTACACTTCATAGCTCATGGTAGGACAACGTGGAAACATTACCTTATCTCTAAGCTTGGACCCAATCACGGGTGACCATTTCGGGTTTTGGTTCGGGTTTGGTTCAATTATATTCGGGTTCGGTTATTTCGATTATAGAAAAACTATAACCATTTGGTTCTTACATAAATTTCGGTTTGGTTCGGTTCGGTTCGGTTTCGATAAAAAAACTCATTTTTCCAAAGAAAATCGTCGGTTTTTTCTGTTATTTTTTTATTCGGTTCGGTTCGATTCGGTTTCGGTTTTTTCGGGTTTAAGGAAATCATAACCGTTCGGTTTTGATGTCAGGTTCGGTTCGGATACGGTTATGTCTTATTCAATTCGGTTCGGTTATTCGGTTAATAATCGAAATGACCACCCCTAAACCCAACACCGTATTATGGTTTTGTATTTCTCTGTGGCAGTTATTTCCATGTCAGTTATATATATATATACACATTACAAATTGGAATTTTTTGTATGTATTTCTCTAACCATTTTAAACATTCAATTTCCTTTTGTTGAATGTCCTAATAAATGATTATATTTTGTATTTAACAAAAAAGAGATTGAAAAAAATAAACCTCGATTATATATTTTTTTATTCATTTATTACGAAATTCGATCATATAAAACTACGTTTTTTTACATATTTTTTCGTCAAAATGAATTGTTTATAATTCTACATTGTAATGGAAAAAAATATTTCCTAATAACCTTAACCACTATTGTGACCGATGTGAGAATCAATATATATTTTTTTGTTATTCTTTTTAACTCAACTCAATACACACATTTTTTTTTATATTTATATAAACGTTATGGAATTTAAAAACGTCGTTTTAGATTTTATCAAAATTTGAAAAAAAAAATCTCAAAAAAGGTTATATATCCACTTATTAAACTACATTCCCATTTAATACTGAAGTTGGATATTTTTAATTAAAATTTATATTAAAAAATTATCTAAAAAATCTAAAACAACAGAGAAAATTTTTGCGAAATAATATATTTTAGGGAAGATATGAAGGTGCGCAGAAATCAACATAGTTTTTTCCCAAAAATAAACATATTTTGTCTTTACCCCAAATAAACACATTTTTTTTGTTTTGTTCTTATTCGTACTAATTTAAATAAAAGATTAAAAAAAAAAGTAAAAACAGCCTTATGGGCCGGAAAACGAGATGGGCCAAGATTATAGGGCCCAATCCTAAACTTACTCCAAATCTGGCACGTGTCCATTCCACATCAGTTTTCATTTTTTTTTTAATTTGTTTTTACCATATTCATTGGAAACCTAAAAATTTTTAAAAAAGGAAAAAAAGAAAAAGAAAACATTATCTCTTACGACGAAGAAGCCGTCGTTTTGAGGGTTTGTGTTGTTTTTTTTTTGGCATCGCATCGTTTCGTTTCGTTCGCAACTTCCATCTTCATCCTCTTCGGTGCGTCGTCGTTTTGGTCCCTCCTTCCGCTGTTCCGCTCTCTGTTCCTGGTTTGTTTTTTCCCTCCCTCTTCTCCGGCGTCGTTTTGTCTCCCCCCCTCAACGTCTCTTTATTGATTTCGATTCGTCTTCGCTTCAAAACCCAGATTTCGATTCCCCTCCTGTGGATTTCTTCATGTGGTTTTGTTGTTTTTGCAGCCCCAGAGGGGGATTTTCTCGGCGAAAGTTTTACCCTTTCGACGAGGGTTTCAATCTTTCGTTCTCTTGGATGAAATCGCCAAGAATTTGCTTTCCTTTTTACGTTATTCGTGTATTGGGTTTGTGATTTGGCTATTGAACGTTGGTTTCGTATGTGGGATTTGTCTCTGGGTGTCGTCTGAGTACCATCATGTCCTTGCTTTGATCTAATGTGGTTTTTTTGGAGATAAAGTTTGATTCTTTTGTCGCTTCTATGGATGATGCTTCAGACATTGTTTTGATCACTTCTGTCTGTGATTTGCGATCAGGTTAGGAATCGATGATGGACCCTTTGACGAATCCAGGGCCACTTAAGGACATTGTGTTGTATGATCAAGAGAAGCATGTCTCGTCCGCTGTCTGGGATGGACAGGTTCACTCCTACGCCTCTTCCATGTTCAGTTCACAGACTGAACAGATTAATTGTCATGAAATTGTGAAAAAAAAAGATGGGATGTTTACACTTATCATGATGTTAAAAGTTGTCTCTTTGGTGTCGAAAATCTGTCAGGAACGAGGTGCATTGAGATGCCATGAACACACTTCGAAGCTAAACGAGTGGAGGCTTAGTTCGAAACAGGTAGAGCTGGTGGAAAGAGCCGGTTTCGGGTATCTAAGACAGATACCCGCCATCAGTCTCGACAACCCACTTATCTCGGCTTTGGTTGAACGGTGGAGGAGAGAAACCAACACGTTTCACTTCACCCTCGGGGAACTGACAGTGACTCTCGAGGATGTTGCCCTTCTGCTGGGGCTGGCAGTCGATGGGAAAGCTGTGATTGGTGTAACTTATACAACATGTTCTTCGGTATGCGAGAAGTACTTAGGGTTATCTCCCGATTCTAATTACGCGAGCGGAGGAATGGTGAAACTTAGCTGGTTAAAGGAGTTCTTTTCCGGCTGTCCAGACGATGCATCTTACGAGGAGATTGAACGTAGAACTCGGGCTTACCTTTTGTACTTGGTAGGGAGTACCATCTTTTCTACAACTACTGGAAATAAGGTTCCTGTTATGTATCTTCCTCTGTTTGAGGATTTTGATGAAGCCGGGACATATGCATGGGGTGCAGCCGCTTTGGCTTTCTTATACCGTGCCCTCGGGAACGCTTCTGTTAAATCTCAGAGCACGATTTGCGGTTGCTTGACGTTATTACAGGTTCTTGTCCAAATCTTTTACCTGCATTTCTCCAAAATGTTTATCAATGGAGTGACTCATTCAATGTGAATCCCATGTCTGAAACTCACGGATTTGAACATAAAGTGTCAATCTTTTTCGTGCAGTGTTGGAGTTACTATCATTTAAACATCGGGAGGCCGAAGCTGAACCGGGATCCTGTCCACGATCATTTCCCGTTCGTGCTTAGATGGAAAGGGAAGCAAAGTGGTCCAACAGCGAACCGTGATGTCGTCTTTTACCGAAAAGCACTGGATTCATTGAAGCCATGCGATGTAAGAGCAAGCTTTTTCGATCTTCTTTTCATTATCATCATCATCGTGGGTTACTGTTCTTCGTTTAGTTCTGAAAGTTCTCTTGATTGATAAAATAGGTGGAATGGCTTCCATACGAGAACATGGAGAGTGAATTAGTGCCAGATCATATCAGAGGGTCTCTCCCGTTGGGTAAATCGAAAACGATGTTGATATGCTTCGACAAGGCGGAGAGACACCTCCCCGATCGCTGCGTCAGGCAATTCGGAATGTTTCAAGGCATCCCCGAAGATGTGCAGAGGTGGGTACGAAAATCTCGGGGAGTTGATGGAGGTGTAGACTTGTCAGGTAAAATGGAGGCAGAGTTAAGCGAGTGGGAACAGCGGTGGGACAGCATTCTGCATGATGATGTCGGGGCTGTCGATGAATCCGACTACATGAGGTGGTACTCGGGAATTACTCGTAAAATTGTCGGGAGACCCATCTCTCTCTCAAGCGAGTTTCAAAGAACGGTAAAGGCTAGAACTAGCTTCCTATACGGTAATAATTTCTGCGAAAGGCCTGAATGAGTTTTTATCTTTTTGTTTCTCGTCGTCATTACAGATTTCCAACGTTAGGGAGATACTGGAGTTAGCCGAGAATTTCCCGATAGACGATCTGGATCGGGAGAGATGTGGGTTGATCTCGAAGATTATAAGCCTTGCCCAAGATTGTCTGAGAGATCAAGTCGGAGTAACCGTTGCTACTGCTGCGGCGACAGAGAGCCAGCAGATGGAACTCGGGAAAAGGATTCGGGGTAAAGAAAGGGTGAGAAGGAAAGGAATGGGAAAGAGACGGAAAGGCGTCGACCCGATGGAAGATTACGGAGGAAGTGAAGACGAGTCCCAGTTCGCGAATGTGGTTGAGGTCGATCAGTTGCATTTACCTCCTCCTCCTGTCTACGACGGAACACATCACTTGTACGACGATGTCGAGCTTTGCGGGGACGATACCCACATCGCCGAAAACATCACTGGACTGCCTGAGCCTCAGAAGATCGACGAGATCGACGGCTCGTTTATGGACAGTACGAACAAGACGATGGAGCTTCATGACGAGCTTGGTGCCTCCTCCAATGGCTGTGGTAACCCGTCACAGCATAAGCCCTTGTCAGTTCCAGAACTGCCGGAGCAGTACGATGTGAAGAAAGAAGATAGAGACTCGAAAGCTGAAGATGCAGGCTGTGAGGGCGGAACGAAGGGCGAACATTCTGACGGAGGAACAGAAGGAATTCATGGTGGTGGTAATGGCGAAAACCCGGAATGAGGAGACAGTTGCAGAGACGTGAAAGAGACAGAGAGAACACCTTTGTAGTCTTGAAGTCTCTCTCTCTCTCTCTCTCTCTCTCTCTCTCTCTCTCTCTGACATTTTCAGACAAAACGGACCTCAAGAGGGTAGTTTGCAACTGAAGAACTCTGTAAGATCTGCAGAGGTGGAATGGGTTTAAGAGCAGAAGAATCTTGAGTTAGAATTTTTTTTTTTTTTTTTGAGGTTTTCTTTTCATAACATTTGGTTTTTAAGTTATTTCTTCATTCGATTTCTGTTTTCTCTAGAGCTAGTGGATTAACCAGTATTTGCAAAGTGATCCTTTAATTTTTGGGTAAAATCCATAATTTTTTTAAATGGTAGAAAATTAATTCATAAATGTTTCTTTCGATAAATTTATTTTTATAATTCACAAATTTACAAAATGTGTTATTATAATTCTTAAACTGATTTATAAACCAATAATGTTGAGATTTTTTGTAATATCAATTTAAAAGTTTAAAATTTATAATGATATAAATACGATAATAAATTTGATATAAGAAAAGTTTTTAGGAATTTCATAGATTTTTACAGTAGTGTTTTACAGTTTAATACCAAAAAACGATCCCACTATTTTTATAATTTCACACTTTTTAACCCAAACTGACAATAGCAATACGGACATTAATTCGTATAATTTTTTAGATCGAGTTAAACAATAAAAAAAATTTCTTTGTGAATGACGGTCCATTTTATGTAAAAAAATATATATTTTCAAACGTCTTATATTCTATTGATGCGATGCATTTGATATGAGAAATATATCAATAAACATATAAATTTCTCATATTCCATTTGGTTAAATTACATCATTTATTGTTATATATATATATATATATATATGTATATCCTCTATGAATGATCAAACATTTTTTATTCAATTTCGAATAAATTAACTCAATCCCCTAAAAACTTTAGACTTACCTAAAAAGCTAGTAAATTTTATTACAATGTAAAAAAAAAAAAAAAGATTTCCTCATAGCGTGGGAGAGGTTTGGGTGGCGCCACGTGGCAATGCAAGATGCTTGCTTTAGGGGGATTGAGGGGAGAGAGAGATAAGGTGCTCTTGCGATGGAGGCGGTGTCTCTGTCGTGTCTCCCGACCACATACCAGCGGTATGGTGGTTCGGAGGGTTTGCATTTTGTACGGTCGCATAGTACCCGAGCGCTGACCAAGAGTCAAGCCCGTAGACCGAGGAGATTGGTGGTGAGCTTTGGGAGCCAAGGCCAAGGGTCGGGAAATTCGGAGGAGAAGGTGCCGTCATGGGCGAAGACCGACTCGGACGAGCCACCTCCTTGGGCCAGAGACGAAGGCGGTGGAAGTAGTAACGGTGGCTCCCCCCAACAAGACTTTCAGATCCCTTTCTTCGTCTATCTACTTGCCTCCACCGTCACCGCCATTGCTGCTGTATGTATACACAGATTCCTCCATCTCTGTCTCTCTCTCTCCCCCCAAAGTTGGGATCTTTATGTTTATGAGAGAACCAGTTGATCTATCCGGTCGTGTTCTGTGCCAAAGTCGGTGCCTTTATGCCATTGTTGATCTTTGTCCTCATACCCATTTGTGGATCTTTCGATTTCTTTTGGGGTGTTTTGTGGCTTTGTAGATTGGATCGGTGTTCGAGTACGTGAACAAGAAGCCGGTTTTCGGGGTCTTGAGCTCAGACAGCATCTTCTACACTCCCTTGCTCGGATTCTTTGCCATTACTGGCATCCCTACTTCCGTCAGTTTCATCCTTTATTTATTCAAAAAAAAAAAAACTTTTTTTTTTAGTTCTCGAATACAGGATTAGGGTTTCTTCATCTGAACAAAGTATGCGTGTGTGTTCTTCATTCGGACAGGCGTTCTTGTGGTTCAAATCTGTTCAAGCTGCCAACAAGGAAGCTGAAGAACAAGACAGAAGAGACGGCTTTCGCTAGAGACAGCTCCCATCTTGTGTGTGTGTTTGTGTTAAGGCAAACAATTAATCGAATATATAATTCTCACACAGAATTTGGCATTTGCATTCCATTAGGGCTCTGCCCTTCATCAAATGATGGAAAAGAAGCAGGAATCAAAAAAGGGTGAAAACACACATAGATTCATTCAAAATGAACATGCATAAACATTTACTTACCGCCGTCACTGCTTCTCTGTTTAAACTCGAGGATAGAGCCATCAAAAGGACTATTCCTACCGGGTGGGTGGGTACTTGGGTTCGGGAATTTAGTTCCGATCCGTACCGAAACCGCAGATCAGACCGACGTTTTATAGAACCAAATAAACGATTTCCAAACCAAACCATGCAAATACCGAACAGAATCTTGACAAATACCGAATCCAAATTTGGATTATCCACCAATATAAATATTATGGTCTAGTTTTTATTTGGTATTCATATAACAACACCATTTCAAACCGGACCATTTAACGTTCGATTCTAGATTGGTACAATTTTTATAAAACCGAACAAACCGTTCTGGAACGGAACCGCTTGAATATTGAATCGAAAAGCGGAACACCGACCCCTAATTCCTGCTAAAAGCATAAGGTTACGAGCAAAATAACCAAGGCATATTGACCAATGCAATATTTACTGTTGTAATAACTCAAAATAATCACAAGCATTATATAACACTACACGGGGAATTTTCGATTTTCTCGTGTTTAGTCCCGACTCAAAAAGGATAGAAGAAGAGAAAACACAGATTTTAAAAAACCTCACAACAGCAGACGCCTCCAAATCTCAACAGCAAATTGCATTCAAGCCCTCTTCCCCTGAAAGAAACTATAGAGGAAAATGGATGGATACCTTTGGAAATTAGAAAACGAGAGAGCACCGAAGCATTTCCCGCGATATTTCAGAAGGAAGCAGCCGGGCCGTCATGAGAAGAATTAGCCGCGACCGTTCCAACACTTGTTCTGCTAATGATGCCTTTCCCAAAGTACTCGGCGATAACAGAAAATCCGTCTTTTGAGCTCTTCACCTGCTGGAAAAACCTGTCTTGGTCCTTGGAGTTCTGCTCCAAACTTCTCTTCATTTCCATCACGGATCTGTACTCAGAGGCACATTCCGGGCATTCCTTTTCGTTGTCGCCAAGGCACCGCTGGTGGAATGAGTGCATACACATAAAATGGACGGCCGGGAGATCCAGAGTGAATGTGCAAGCCGTGCACTTGCTAAGCTGAAATATTCTGGCGTTCGTCCTAAGATCCTGAATTTCTTTTCTCATGGCTTTCGTCTCTTCCTGCATGTTTTCGAGATCCATGGCCATATATAAGTTTTTAATAACAAGGGTCCACATTACTAGGGAGAACATTTTTTCTTTATCATAGCTCATAAGTTCTGATGCAGAGAAGAGAGAAGAAAGCATGTGAAACTACTGACCTGATACTTCTCTACAGCTTTCCGATCTTCCTCAATCACCCTTGATTCCTGTTCAAGTTTCCGGGCGATATAGTCTTTGATGACAGAGAGTGTAAGGCATGGATTCTTCGCTAACGTCTGGAGAACAATGATAGGAGGCAGAATGTCATCTCTTTCGATGTAAGTGAGAACCTCTTTCACCTCCTTGGAGCAATCTTCTCCGAGTTCGCCAAAATACTTCAGTAGATCTGCCCAAAGAGACGGATCTCCTCCCTTTCCAGAATCACCGAGTCTTTTGCAGCATGCGATCAGTCCCTCGTGATCATGAGCCTGCATGTAGCAAGCAATAACCTCCTTGTAAAGTTTCATCTTTTCATACAGATACAGAAGCCCTTCCTTGAATGAATTCATCTCGCAAAGGATTATAGCGAGGTCAACATCATAGAGCGGTTGCTCAAGGTCGGATCTCCTCCCTTTCCAGAATCACCGAGTCTTTTGCAGCATGCGATCAGTCCCTCGTGATCATGAGCCTGCATGTAGCAAGCAATAACCTCCTTGTAAAGTTTCATCTTTTCATACAGATACAGAAGCCCTTCCTTGAATGAATTCATCTCGCAAAGGATTATAGCGAGGTCAACATCATAGAGCGGTTGCTCAAGGTCGTTGGGCCATGCCATTATCCGATCGAGAAGATTTCAATAATACAGTTCATTCCTTTGGGTGTAAATTATGACAAACATTACGTAGCTTTTTACCTTAGCTTCAGGAAACTGATTGGTGAATATTCTTAGAATCCCGATACATTCAGGAGCTGTAGAACTCGTGCCTTCCGGCTGCACTTTGTCAAGGTCAAAGACCTTGAGACACATTCCTGACTGTTGAGACGATATTTGCTCGTCTTCTCCAACAGTTACCAGGAAGTTCCGTTGCTATTCATCATAGATCAAAAGAAATGGAAGCCATTAATTTCCAGCTAGAAAGGAAATAGGTACAGTTGAAACAGAATCATGCATTCGAATGGATAGAAACAGGAAGATTTCAGATTCCGACACTGCACTACCACGCAACCAAGCACTGTCAAATGTCACCCAAAAATGAAGCTAAGTTTGAGTCTCGCTAGTATTTGCTTCCTCGGGAATTTCGAAACACGATTAAGATCTTACTGACAAGGATGATTCAAGCTAGTGTCTGAAGAAAATCGTGCCGGGAGAACAGTAAAATGGCGAGGAACGTAGTATCTAAGGAAGAATTCAACCTTTCCCTATAATCCTTCTCCTCCACCGAAACACCATTCATCTTCTTATCAGAATCAGGTTTGGGCATCGCGATTGCTGCTGATTGAGCTTTTAAATCTCGATCCAGAGTGTTTTCCGCTTGTGAGATGGATGGAAAATTCAAGTCCTTGGACAAGTATAACTCCAAGAGTGTGTTGTGAATCTCTACTTGGGCAGGTGAGTCTTTCACCTTGTCAATATATCTCTCTAGAAAGTCCATTAGGGACTGTGGATGATGAAAAAACATATTGAGGAAGTCCACTGGTGATGGCAACATGGACAAGAACACAGCGCTTGAAGTTCCACCTTTGTTAGATTCTCCATCTTCAGTGCAGAGCCGCATTAGTATATCAATCGTCTCCCCTGGTTTGTGCTCTATAAGAATTTTACCATACTCTTTGATAGTCACTCCAGCTTGCCCCGGTTCAAGACTTGAAATATATTCCAGGGCTTCATCATAACTGCCAAGGTCTTCAAGCAAAATCTTCAAATACCACTCATGCTTCCCGGCCTTCTTCGCAACATACATTGCATGCTCATGGTAGTTAGCAGCGCGACAAACCCTTATTGCCGTTTCCGCATCAAACTTCAGCTCACCAATTCCATCTTCGTTTCTGACGAACGTGTTAAGCTTTTCTACATCTTTCAGTTTGGTATAACAGTTTAGCAGAAGAGTTGTGTGGTCCTTGGATGCTAGTCCCTTCTCATGCAACTTCTCCAGGTAATTCGTAAGGTTGTATATTCTCTGCGCATCGAGAAACTTTTGTATCACATACGATGGTTCAAGATGACCAATTGTATTGATATACTGAGCCATAGCTTCGTCATAGTCCTGTTTGCTGTATAAATGATCGCCGTATTTCCTCAACACATCCGCAGTTGCAGCAGCATCAGCTTGTTGACTCTGAACAAGATTAATGGCCACCGTATACAGGTTTTTCTTGAAAAGCATGTCTAACTTGCTTTCCATGTCCTTCTCGGCAATACACAACAGCGATTTGTCAGCCGTTATTAGTATTATGTTTCCCCACTCGCAAAGCATGTGAGAGACTTTGTCCACGGCTTGGCTATATGCTATCAGCCGATTCTTGAGGTCATAGACGTTGAAGACATTCTTCCCGGTTTTAGGATCAGCAATGACACATAAGAGGTAGCCACGGAACCATCCGAGGAACTTTTTCTCACCCTCAAAAGCCCAGCAAGGGCCACGTCCATCAACTTCATAGAAATAAACAGCCTCTGGTCGACCAATTATTAATTCCTGTGGACATAACAGAGACTTCAATCGAATAGAAGACAAGAAATTTAGAATTCTAAAATCAACAGCATAAGATAAAGATGAATCGCATGTACAAAGGTATATACCAAGCGGTCACTCATTGTAACACTATACACACTGCTCCCAATTTGATCCAAAGTCTGCAATCTTGGTGGTTGGGCCTGCATATTGAACAAGTTCACAGAATCTGGAGTTACAGCGAACAACAAAAGGGCTTGGCCATCCATCCTGAATCCCAACCCAGTGATAGGGCACTGTCTCTTGTCTGAAACTCCGTCCACTTGAAGCTTAAACCGGGTGATACGCTCTCGTGCAATGTCTCCTTTGACACAATAAACACAACCATTATCGAGGCCAAATGCTATGAGCAATATGGGCGGAGCTTCCTCCAGGACTAAAAATGATGTGATCTGCAAATTCCAAAATGATTTAGAGATATCCGATCGAGAAGATTTCAATAATACAGTTCATTCCTTTGGGTGTAAATTATGACAAACATTACGTAGCTTTTTACCTTAGCTTCAGGAAACTGATTGGTGAATATTCTTAGAATCCCGATACATTCAGGAGCTGTAGAACTCGTGCCTTCCGGCTGCACTTTGTCAAGGTCAAAGACCTTGAGACACATTCCTGACTGTTGAGACGATATTTGCTCGTCTTCTCCAACAGTTACCAGGAAGTTCCGTTGCTATTCATCATAGATCAAAAGAAATGGAAGCCATTAATTTCCAGCTAGAAAGGAAATAGGTACAGTTGAAACAGAATCATGCATTCGAATGGATAGAAACAGGAAGATTTCAGATTCCGACACTGCACTACCACGCAACCAAGCACTGTCAAATGTCACCCAAAAATGAAGCTAAGTTTGAGTCTCGCTAGTATTTGCTTCCTCGGGAATTTCGAAACACGATTAAGATCTTACTGACAAGGATGATTCAAGCTAGTGTCTGAAGAAAATCGTGCCGGGAGAACAGTAAAATGGCGAGGAACGTAGTATCTAAGGAAGAATTCAACAAGACGCTAAAAGTTCGTGACCCAAGAATTTCGAAGTTGAGGTTAAGAGCTAATTAACGAAACAAAGAAAATTCGAGCTAGTATCTGATTGAAGATCTCTGTGGGAAAACAGTAAAATCGACGAGAAACGCAAAATCTAATGAAGAATTTGACTACAGCAACTCCATTCACTTTTTTCTCATGCTCCTTCCATTTTCCTCAGCATCAAAAGCAAGCCATGAACACGACCATGGAGAGGATTCACAAGAGATCGAAGAGAAGACAAACCTTCAGGTGCTGAAGGAAGAGAACGGAGGAAGAGTGAGCTTGGAAACCGGAATCGAACTTGATTCCACGATCGAGGAAGTTGACGGAGCCGTCGTCGGAGCCGATGACGACCTTCCCACGGCCGCCGGAGCAACACCGTATCTCTCCCTTCACGTCCTCGGGGAACTTCCCTCCGTATTTCTCCTCAAAGAAATCGAATTTCCTCCAATGGTACATCTCTCTCCCTCTCCCCCCCTCCTCCTCTCACCGGAGCAAAATGCGAGAGAGATCGAGAAGTTGCGTCGGAAGAACAAAAAGCTCGAGATCAGAGGAAAATGCAGAAGCGATCTCAAGCCGAAGAAGAATCGAGGTACAGAGGAAGATGGCGAATCCAGAAATCGTCAGATCGAAATTGTTTGCCCCTCGATTTGGCTTTTTAGTTTTTTTTTTTCATCATACTCATCGTAATTCAATTTATATTTGATCTGATGTATTTCTTTTTCTACATACACAAATTCTTAATTTAACCATATTCATTATAATTTTAAGGGTAAATGGCCAAAAAAAACATGTACTTTTATTTTATTTTGTCACAATTTAAATCCTGTAGTTATTTTTGGTTCTTAAAAAACCTATATAATTACATTTTATCCAAAATATTCCTGTACTTTTTAATTTGTGGTCAAATTAACCCCATCGTAAAAAATGCCAGGTGGACAAACGAAAAATTCTACGTGGCAAAAAAACCGAAATCCTACATGTAATAAACATAATAAATAGAAAGTCCACGTCAACAAGATAATTATTTAGAAAAGCAATTATACCAAAATAAATTAATTCCCTAAAATCTCTAAAACACGTTTCCCTTCATCCAAACCCTAATCCTCTTCTTCCGCCATTTCGAAACCTTTGCAACCCATGATTGAATCTCGACACACCATCTATATTGGTCGATTTCGATTGAATCCTTCTCGATTTTGATCTAAAAACTTCTCCATAGCTGAAATATACAAGAACACAGATTTCTAGACAACTTGAAAGCAGGATAATGTTTCTTATTTTGTGAAGGTTTGGTTTTTCTTAATGTCAAAGAAGGTTTCGATCTAATTAGAGGTATGGTTTCTGTTAATATGAGGGTTTAGTTTTTGTTAATGTGAGGGTTTTGTTTCTATGAAAAAAATGAATTTTAGATGAGGAGATTATGTCCAAAACGAAGGCTTAGCATTTGATTAGATGGAATGTACACTTACAGATTGTTTTCTTTCGGCAGGATGTTAGATATTGATTCAAGGAGCGTTCAATTGAACACGGATGTTGAGGATAGTGATGGGGATTTTGAGGGCGTATTTGGTTCGGAAGATGAAGAAGCGGATGATGACTTTGCTGATCTAGTAAACGAGGAAAACATTTATGAAGAATATATGAGTGATCCAGAATATGTGAATGTGGGTGATGTGTTTCTGGATACCCCAGAAAATACGGATAATGAAGTGGCAGAATTTGATCGACTAACACAACACAAGACACATAGGCAAGATACGTCAGGTAATCTCTACCTCGGTAGGATTTTTAACACGGGTGAAGAATTTCAAGAAGCTGTGGTTGATTATGTTTTGGACAAAAAATTTAATGTCAAGTTCTCGAGGTGTGAAAGTAAGAAATGTGAAGCAAAATGTGTTGTGAAAGGTTGTGATTGGAGAATATATTGTTCTGTTCATACGGCATTGAACAAGTGGATGATCAAAACATTTAACGATGTACACAATCATCCAAAGTCGGGTGAGGCCGATATATTGACTTCAAGGCGTATTGCCAAACTATTTGCTGAAGATATCAGATTAAATCCATCTTATTCAGCAAAAGATATGCAGAAAGAAATTATGAAGCGACATGGGTTGATAGTGACACGGTGCAAGTGCTTTAAAGCCCGAAGAATTGCAATGGGTTTAATATTCGAAGGCCAGGAAGCTCAATTTGAAAGGTTATGGGATTATGAGGCGGAGCTTCTTAAATCTAATCCAAGAACAACAACCGAGATAGGGTATGCCAAAGATGATGGTGGTGAAAAATTGTTTGATCGATTTTATGTTTGTTTTGAGGTTCTACGAGAGACATGGAAGACATGTTGTCGTCCAATAATAGGTTTGGACGGTTGCTTTTTAAAATGGAAGTTGAAAGGGGAATTACTAGCTGCGATTGGTAGAGATGGTGATAATAGAGTTTACCCCATTGCATGGGCTATTGTGCGCGTTGAGAATAATGATACGTGGGGTTGGTTCGTAAGTAAATTGAAAGCTGATTTAGGTTTGGGTTTAGGAGATGGAGTCACCATACACTCTGACAAGCAGAAGGTATTTATTAATGCTTATAATATATCTCATATTATCAATTGTATTTTGAAGTTACATTAACATGGATCGAGTATATTATGTTATAGGGTTTGATTAGGGCAATCGAGGAAGAACTCCCACGTTGTGAGCATCGAATGTGTGCGAGACATATATATGCTAATTGGAAGAAGCAAATCAAAGAAACGAGTTTGAAGAAACATTTTTGGCAAGCTGCTTATAGTTATAATCACGGTGATTGTGAAGATTACAAAAATGTTGATTAATTATGGTTTTGCTAAAAAATATTTATTTACTAATATTGGTCTGTCATGTAGGAGAATTTTCTAAACACATAGATGCCTTAAGATCTGAGAATCTTGCGGCATATGATGCATTGATGGCTTCTAATCCGAAACATTGGTCCCAAGCTTTTTTTAGTGGAGCAGCAAAATGTGGAGACATACACAACAACTTAAACGAGAGCTACAATAGCTCAATAAGAAAAGCTCGCCTCCTACCAATTATTGATATGCTAGAGGATATTCGGAGACAGACCATGATGCGAATTTCAAAGAGGCTGGGAGAGACTAGTAAGTGTGTCACTGAGTTCACTCCCTTTGCGATGGGAGAATTAGAAGCAGCACGAGAGAAAATCGGGTATTGTGTGGTAATTGCTAGTGGTCATAAAAGGTACGAGGTATTGAACCATGGTATGAGCTACACCGTTGACCTTAATGCGAAAACTTGTCCATGTCGGCAATGGGATGTAACAGGAATTCCATGTAATCATGCATTGGCTGTTATCAATCAGAGACGAGAAGGTTTGTCAGAGTAAGTATCCTTTGTTTTCTTTTCATATGTCAGAGTTATGTGTTAAAGTTGAATATTAACTATGTACTTTGTCATTCTGTCTTAGTTATGTGTCTGATTACTTCTCCAAGGCAAAATGGGTAGCAACTTATCGACAAAATATTAATCCTGTGAATGGGAGCCTATTCTGGAGAAAGTCTGGGAAAAAACCAATTGTTGTTCCCAAGACGCGAAACATGCCAGGTCGACCTAAAAAGTTCAAGCGTAAAAAGGATCCACATGAATCTCCATCAAAGCGTGGTAAAATTACAAAACACGGCAGAAAAATGACATGCAGCCAATGTAGACAGGTTGGACATAATGCTAAGACGTGTAAAAATGAACCGGTTGAACGAATTCCAGTGCGAGGAAGGGGTCGACCAAGGAAATCAACGGTATGTATGTGGTAAAAATTACGTTTGATTATACTCTTGAATGATTTTGATGTGATTATTTGTTCCTAGTTTGATGGAGAAACTAGTACGTACCCACAGCCCAACAAGGCAAAATCCAATACAGAACATACAGATCCTTGGAATCAACAAAGCAGTGCAAGCTCGGCAGCAGGAGGTAACAATATTTGTGATGTAGGATTATCCATCCCAACGCAATTGAGTCAGACTGTAAAATCAACAACAATGCATCGTCAGAGAAACCATCCTCCCCACACTACTACATCGCTTCCCTCAAGGATTCGCATGCCACCACGTGCGTTTAAGATGCCGAGACAAAACAAGCCAAAGTAGAGTGCACTTAAAAGATTGTATTTGCTTCTTAAGTTGTGCTTGTGAACCTTTTTCTTATGTTATGGGTTATGAATTAGAACCTCTTTATTTTGGTGATCTCGTTCGGATATGGATGATGGATCAAAACCTTTTTTTTTATCTAGTTCGAATATGAATCATGTATCAACACTTCTTCTAGATATCAATTGATTTTAAACTTACATTATCGAATTTAGAAGAATCTGTATCAATGGATTTTGAGCTTACATTGTTGAATTTGGGAGATACCCAAATACTTCTAAAAAGAACGAAATTTGTATATAAAGGTGGAGAATCCGTTGAATTTGGGAGAGGCTTGACAGAGGGTACAGAAGAAGATATTGAAAAAAGCTGAATTTTTAGGGATTGTGTTGTGTTGACCAATTTTTATTTGTGGGAATTGGGTATTTTGATATTAAATGATTTAATATAATTATCCTACGTGGCAATGATTTGGATCTGATTTTTTACATGTAGGATTAATTTTTGTTATCCAGGATATTCATTTGCCAATGTGGTAATTTTTTTTACGAGGGGGTTAATTTGGCCACAAATTAAAAAGTACAGGAATATTTTGGACAAAATGTAATTGTATAGGTTTTTTAAGAACCAAAAATAAGTACAGGGTTTAAATTGTGACAAAATAAAAGTACAGGTTTTTTTTGGCCATTTAACAAATATATTCTCCCCAATAAATTTATATATTCAAAATAAATCAATCAAAATGATTTCGATATTATATAAATCTAAAATAATTTTACATTATACATGTATTAGAATTACCATAAATATAAATTATATATTTAAAATAAAGTCAACACAAAATTTGGGATTACAAAAAAAAAAAATATGTGCATTCAATCTAAAACTAAACGCTCTTCTTATGTATAAAATTTCTATTCCCAAATCTTTTGTTATTACAGAATAATATTATATAATGTTAAGAGATTATTATTGGTAATTGCAATTACTTAATGGTATGGATTTTTTCTACTAAATATGTTATCCATTAATTAACATAGAATTATCATTACTATATTTTTTTATTTTTTTATTGACAACAAATTGTCTTAACAATGTACAATTATAAATCGATATCTGTAAATTTTACACGTTCAAACTAATTTTTTTTCGTCTCTAAATCAACATATTAAATATTAAATGTAAAGAATTGGCCTCAAATGTTATTATATTTCTAAGATACGATTCGAAGCTCGATCTATAGTTAGATATCAATTTTAGCACGAGACTCGAAGCCTAGTCTAGTTTGGCCTAAAAAATAGCAAATTTTGAACCTAGATATTTAGGTTCGAAAATTTTCGGACTAGGCTCATACCGTACTTTGAACCGGCTCGAAAGTCCGATTTTTGTTAAAGCAAATAAATTTTAAATATTAAATTTAGACTCAAGCGAAATCTGTATGGTCAGACTTCGGTTTTAGTTATTTAGACTCGAAAAAATCAGATCGTTCCGAGGTCGAGTTCGAAACCGTTGGGTCGGGTTGGATCGGATCGGTCCCGCACCGGACCTGAAGATTTCGGGCTCGGACTCAGATTCGGCCGACCCGTATAATTTTCTTTATAAATGTATTTTTTTTCTTTTTTATTAAGATTTATATATATATCAGACTTTTGGTTCAGCCAGAATAAAATTTAGGCTCGAACCCTGCTATTTTTCGGGTTGGGGTGGGTCGTACTTCGAACCTCATATCTAAAGTGACATCCTACTTGTAGTTAAGGAACAAATACGGTGTATTACTAGTTAGGTTCATTTGCATGTTTTTTTTTTATTTATATATGAATTCACAATTAACCAAAAAAAAAAAGTCAAAACCACTAAAAGTCCACTAATCTAAGAAGTAATCTTTCTGTTACTATTCCAACTAATGACGCCTTAAGATGTTGACATGTTAGGGCATCTGTTTGATTATTGAAGCCTTAAAGGAAGAAGAAGAAGAAAGCGCCATTATTTATTTCAGAGAGAGAGAGAGAGAGAGATTCACACCAAGCTTTGAAACAATATTCATCTGGTTTTCCAATTTTCAGGTAATTAGATTTCCAGTAAATTTTGTTTTTTTCTTTCCTTCTGATAATCGTATCTGTTATGTGCTTACGCTTGTACATTGATTACTGCAGTTTTCTTCTGAATCAGAACTACAGTCATTATGTGTAAAAACCTATCATAGACCATCACTAGGGTTTCTTCTGAATCAGAACTACGATTTCTTTGCAATCTATAGAAAGAAAGCCAGAACTGATCTTCAACTATTACAGTGATCTGTTTCACAACGAAATCTGTATGTCCAGATCTGTTTTTGCCTCCGAAATCCATAAAGTTGGAGTCTTTTTCTTGTCTGTGTATACGAGTTCATATACATATATATATATATATAGTATATATACACACGCATACATGAATATATGTGCAAGTATATATATATGAATGAATCTCATACCTATGCACACATATGATTTTCTGAAGGAGATCGATGGACATATCAGAGCGAACACGAGCTGTGTACGACAGGATCCAGGAGTTTGAACCAGAGCATGTCTCCATAATCATGGGTTACTTGTTGCTTAAGGAACACGTCAACCAGGAAATGACCCGTCTCGCTTCCTGTCCCGACACCATGCTGCGTTCCTTGATCAACAAGGCAAAATCAGAATTAGGGTTGATCAGGAACCCTATCCTCCAGTTTCCACCGCCCTCTTGATCATCTTCTTTTAATTTATTTTTGGAAGATAATAGCCTTAAAAAATCACAAACTTTCAAAAAAAATTACGTATAAAATCATGAATTTTATAACTTCTATATAAAATCACGAACTTTATAAATTTTGCTATATTCCCACATATTTATTAACTTTACGAATTTTTTTAATTTCTATGTAAAATCATGAGTTTTGTGGGAATATAGTAAGATTAATAAAGTTCATAATTTTATGTAAAGAGTTATAATAAAGTTCATGATTTTATATGAATCTTTTTTGAAAATTCGTGATTTTTTAGACTATTTTTTTCCCATTCGTTTTACCTTGAAAACGGATTGTTTTGGTTGTCTTTAAACTCAAAGTTGCACTGATTTGCTGTCTTGACCACGTTATTTGGTATGATTAGTGACTGATTAATTAGTTTTAATGATTGTATATGGTCTTGAGGTTCGGGTTATAATAATCATATTGGATCCATATAGTTAAAACACCAATCAACAAAGTTTTAAAAACAAATTGATCGCGTAGAAATTGGTTACGGCCTAATTCAAATTAAATACTCAAATTTATGTAATCATAACAAAATAAATAGAAAAAAACATGCAATCAAAGAGGAAAAGGAACATTTTTTTTTTTTTTTGTAAAAACTCCCTCATAATTCTTGATTTCTATTTAAGCTATATGGGCTACAAATATTATTGTCGATTTCATTTGTCTCCACATCCTAACGAATTAAATATCTTCAAATTCAGCTATTTAATTAATCACATATATATATATTCAACTAAAAAAAAATGTTATCAATAAGAAATTAATTGAATTCAGTTATTATAATTATTAAACTATAACTCTCAAATCGTTTCCCCTTAGTCCCATATAGATCCAATTATATATATATATATGTGACTCTTAAAAAGCCTGGGGAAGTGCACGAAGACTAGTCATTAACGTATTTAATTACTATTAATTATGCATTAAGCCAACTCCAAACTAATATATTAAATATCGTTTAACGTGCTCACAAGTCACCACGTTTAGTGCGTGACTTGCTAATGTGTAATGACTACCACTATTGTCTTGTATTATCCAAATATATATATATATATATATATAAGATTTTGATATTTTAAATAATTTAGACCCCATATAAAACATAGTATATACTAGAATATGTTTTATATTCATTAATGTTTATAAAATTATTATTATCATTTGAGTTAGTATAAATATTTTTATTCATATTTATCAATAAATATTTAATAGATATATTTTTCGCATGATTTGATTCAATTGATAATTAACAAATGTTACTGATAGTGTATAAACTCACAATTTTTTTAAAAGATATATTTTCACATTACCAACTCTTTTATCCTTCGAAACAATTACATTGAATTTTCTTGATATTGATAAAATATTACTATGTTTTTTCAAAAGATAATTTTTGATGATTTAAATTTTGATTAAATATAAAATCATTTAAAATAGGTATAATTTCAATATATAAATTTAAGGACGAAAATAATTCATAGAGAAAATATAACATTTTTTTTTTCAAGTTACAAATCTCAATCCACTCTATATATTAGGTGTATGACTTAATGTGGAAGACATTGCATGACCACATTTCCTTTGAGTTGACCACGCATTATAATCAATTTTTCATATATATATATATATATATATATATATGTATATGATATATATATGTTTTCTATACATCCAAGTCAAATACGCATATGATACATTTGTATATATCCAACAATTTATGCATTCATTTTCTAATTTAATATGATTTTACAGCCGTATTAGGAACCATAGATTAGCTGTTGTCTTTTTTTATAAAAAAACTCGAGTACGTTGGATCGCTAAGAGCCAAAGTTATATTATTTATTGATAATTAAGCTTGTATAAGTTAGATCATATGATTAATAAAGCACGTACAGTCCACAAATCTATTGAAAATGTTGCACTAAATAAAAATTGTATATAGTGCATAATTAAATTGCATACAAATCAAAATCGAGTATAATATTTTAGATATATTGCATCCAAACGTATCTCCTTATTATAATCTATAATTTTATCGCACATTTGATCTAATTATATCTTCCATATACTATTTACATGAGCCATTATATAGACTGTTCTACTTGGTCCGACCGTGAAAATAAATACATAAATTTCATAAAATCTATAAAAAAAAAACAGAGATTAAATAACAGAAATAAAATGTATTTACGGAGATGGAAATATTTTTCGCTAATTAAGCAGATTACATCATTGACCACAACATGGCACAACAACAGTGTCCCGTACGGACGGATAAACCGTAACGTCTCCTGATTTACCTCTGATTTTTTCCTATTCTCTCGTCTGGAAAAAAAAAAAGTTCCACGTAATTTCCTAATTATAGGAAAAAAAAAATCGAATCTGTTGGAATTTTTTTTTTAATTTTCATTTTTGTTAGAAAAAACAGATTTCGTTAAATCTTGAATTAGATCTGTTCGTACGCACGAGTCATTCACGGTAACCGGTGGAATCGGTCATCGGTAAATTACTTCTATTAAAAAATACTCTTTTATTTGGTTAAAAATAAAATATTTTACCTTTTCTTAAAACTTGATACCGAACGTGAATTGCCACGTAGGACATCCGACCAGATGTAGTGGGCCCTACATTTTCTTAACCGGATATGACACTAGCGGTGGTAGTTGTCTGCATTATCCGCATCTAGATATCCTAGTAAACGCCACGTGGTATTCTCTCGAATCGTTGGATTGAGCAGACAAATCTCCACCGTCCGCTAATCAAGAGATTAACAAAAGTCAAACCATAAAAAGTCTACTAATCTCGCGGTTACGAATTACGATAGTCTAAAGCCTGTACACGTCAGATCTCCCGCATGAGGGCATTTATGTAATTCTACACGGCCGAATCGGCTAATTTTTTTTTTGTTGCCCCTTAATTAAAACCGAGACCCCGCAAATTTCTGTAACGACGAAGAACAAGCTGTAAAACGAAGGACAAAAAATAAATAAAAAAAAAGAGGGGAAAAGGAAGAAACTTTATATAAAAATAGTTGAATAAATAATAAATTAATATCAGGGTTTTTGTCAAATAATTATTTTACTTAATTTTTATTTGCGATGCGTGTGGGGGTGTGTGTGTGTATATATATACACATGTGTGCATAGATAGATGCACATATTGGTGTATGAGGCCAAAGTGAAGTGAACAGAAGACGGCCATTAAAGCTAAATCCGTTCTGTCACAGAGCTTTTGGCCTTTTTTAAGAATGTTTGTTGTGTTCTGTTCTTTCTTGTCCTGAAATGGGGTTTTCAGAACAGTAACGAAGAATATCATCGTCATCAGCAACAACAATAACGAAATCTTCAGGAGATAAGACCTGTCTGTGTTTTCATGGAAGAGATACAGGGAGAGAGAGATATGTATATATATCTATACACGAAGAAAAAGAAGAAATTCAACGGCCATGGAAGAATTTCTGGGCTTTGATCGGTTCATGTGATTGTTTCTGTTTCTTCCTTCAATTTTCAGATACACTTTTTTTCTTAATTACAGGTAAATTTCCCGAGACTTTTCACTTCCTTTTTTTTTGTTCTTAAACTTCGATTCATCGTTAGTTTGTGTAAAGATCTGATTTTTTTTTTGGATGAGAAACTGATCCTAGAGGTTTCAGATTCAGACACGGAAATAGAGTTCTCGTGAATCTTCAAACATGGCGATTGTTTTCTGGGTTTAATCTGTTTCTATCGAGATCTGTTTGTCGAGATCTGTTTTCACCCTTCAGAGCCATCAAGTCGGAGTCTTTAATCTTCGTTTTGACTTCACTGCAAAATCTCTGTATAGACGCATATACATACATGTGCATGTCTGCATATAGAGTTTATAATGGAAATTTGGATCTGTGTGAAAATGAATTATCTTTTTTTTTTTCCTGCAGGAGCTTTTAAGAAGTAGATTAATGGATTATTCAGAGTCAACAAAGGTTGTGTTCAACAGAATCCAGCAGCTCGAACCCGAGCACGTGGCCAAGATCATCGGCTACCTGTTGCTTCAGGAACACGGCGAGAGGCAGATGATCCGTCTCGCCTTCTGCCCGGACAGCACGATCCATTCCTTGATCGAAACGGCCAAATCCGAACTGGGTTTGGTCAGGAAACCCTTGTTCATGAGCCACGTCCCTTCCGACCACATCCCTATCCACCACCAGTTCGCGTCCTTCACCGGCTCGTCCACTCCGGCCGTCTCGGTTTCTCCTCCGTTGTCGATCAGAAACGTGTTCTGGGAGAATCACCAGAAGGTGAGCGAGATAGATTTGGTCCAGAACGGCGTCCAGTTCTTGAATCTTGATGATTCTGCGAACAATCACTCGGTGAGCAGCCCGAATTTCTCGGGCAGCTTCTTCTCTCAGGACCAGGCTCTGCCCGGGAGGACGAGCAGGCGGTCCCCAAGCTTGCCCGAGTTTCCTGTCAAGGTGTGCCATTACTACAACAAAGGGTTCTGCAAACACGGAACGAACTGCAGGTACTTCCACGGACAGATCATGCCTGAGAGAGAGAGTTTCTCTCAGATGTTCAGCATGAACAGCTGCCTAAACGACGACGAACAGCACATTTTCTCCCCCGGATCGCTGGAAAAGCTCGAGGGCGAGATCATCGAGCTGCTGAAATCGAGGAGGGGGTCTCCCATTTCCATTGCTTCGTTGCCAATGATGTACTACGAGAAATTCGGTAAGACCCTTCAAGCCGAAGGGTATCTTACCGAGAGCCAAAGGCACGGGAAGGCCGGTTATAGCCTCACCAAGCTTCTCGCCCGGCTGAAGAACAACATCCGGGTCATCGACAGGTTAACAAAAACAAAACAATCTCTGAACATTTGCACTAATTCATCATCTAGCTGTCTGAAACAACCGGCTAATCCACTTTCCGACACTGCCTGCAGGCCACACGGGCAGCATTCGGTGATTCTGGCAGAAGATGTTCCAAAGTTTCTGGATTATTCGGGAGAGAGGAACGAACATGGCGGCATTGTAGCTGGTTCACGACAGATTTACCTCACTTTCCCTGCAGAGAGCACTTTCACCGAGCAAGATGTTTCCAACTACTTCTGGTAAATCTGAGAATTACCCGCCAGAGTTCTTCATTACCCGTTTTTCTCGAACTTAATCTGTGTAATATTTTCTTCCTGAGCAGCAAATTCGGGCCGGTCCAAGACGTGAGGATCCCTTGCCAGCAGAAGAGGATGTTCGGGTTCGTCACTTTCGTTTACGCAGAGACGGTAAAACATATCCTCGCCAAAGGAAACCCTCATTTCATCTGCGGGGCTCGGGTCCTCGTCAAGCCTTACCGGGAAAAATCTCGATCCGTCGACAGGAAATACATCGACAAGATGTTTCACGGTATGCACTACGGTTCTCAGTTCATAGACAGAGACACAGAGATGAACTCGCGTAAGAACAAAACCCATCTCAAGATTTTACAGAGTATACATACTTTCTCGTGGAGTTGTACGTATCGATTGATTCGTTTGATTTTTTCCTTGTCCAGTGCCACCGAGGGCGATCGAGAGCTCGAGATTACTGAGGAGGCAGTTTCTTGCGGAACAAGAAAACTCGATTTCGAAATCTCTTCCTCGGAACTGCTCTTATCTCAGAAACTCCTCACATGTCGACGGTAATACCCTAATTCTCCTCCCCATCTTATTTCATCTCCTTAAACGTTGTCTATCGACTGTTTTTTCATAGCAGCAAATGCAGAACAAGCGGAACGGTTCGGTTACCTCCTGGACGTTTTGAACTCTGACTCCATGACCGAAGACAAGGTCATGAACATAAGTACTAACTACAAAGACACTGATAGGTACGTGTATGTAATTCATGTAAGAAAGAAGTTTCGAGCCTTTTTTAGTTCAGGCCATTAACTTGCACCACAAGAAAAGAGTTTTTGAGTTCAAGGTAATAACTTGCAACACAAGAAAGAGTTGAGTCCAAGGCGATAACTTGCAACACAAGAAAGAGTCTTTTGTGACCCTTTTTTCTTACTTGCATGCATTGTGAGTGTTATTTGGAACAGTTTTCTGATTGTTTTCTTCAATATGCTTTGCGGTGATCTTGCAGCCAAGGCCTGAATCTTCCGGAAAGCCCGTTTTCGTCCCTTTCGGGGACGGAGATTTCGACGGTTACATAGACAAATACTAATCAGACAGAGAAAGAAGAAGATCAAAGAAGACGATAGGAGCATAAAGGTTAGAGAGAGATCAAAACTGAATCCCAAAAAGTTCTAATCTATTGTCCGTTCTGAAAAGATTTGTGTTTTTTCTAGTTCTTGTTTCGGTTTCTTTGAATCGATCTTAGTGTTTGATCGATTGCTTGGAGACCACGGTAGGGTTCTTTAGCAATAACACCACAGCGAATGAGAGACACAGCAAAGGAGAGAGAGAGAGAGAGAGAGAGAGAGAGAGAGAGAGAGAGAGAGAGAGGGGATGTAATGCTTTAGCTTCCATTTTTTGGGGGGAGCATGCAAAAAACAAAAGTACAGGGGTTGATATAAATAAGTTACAAGTTTCTGAGGATTTTATATTGGTATTATATATTTTTATTTTTATTTCATCTTATTATTTGCAAGGTTGGAGAGAGAGAGAAAAAATAAAAGTAAAAAACAGAAGCAACATAAAACAAAAAGGAGAAAATGTGGGGTGATTTGTGTATATTTTAGGAATAATATGTTTATGAAATTAAATTTGTTTTTTTTACAAAGGTTTATATTCCCATTTTCTTGAAACTTATATATTATATAAAATTCCTCCTACCAAAGGCAAACGTTCAATTTTTTATTTATTTTATTTTTGTCTTTTGCAATGCCACCAGTCAAGCATTATATAGAAGAACAAATAAAATGCGGTTATATAATTTACATAGAATATTTTTATATAACAATTTATTTTAATTAGTGATTGATTTTAATGAATTTTCACACCGGATGAATTTTTTTTTTCAATATTTTACGGTGGAATGTTAAAATAAATAGACACCACAAAAAGCTAGCAAAAAAAAAAAAAAATCAAAATGGGACTTGATATTATTTGAGTGAACCATATTTCATTTCATCAAATGTGTTTTGTAGTCAAAGCCACCTAAGAACATGCGCACAACTTGAAATGTTGAACATTGATTCCTCTTTTTTAAAAATCAAACTGAAATAGCATTATAAAAAATAAAAAATTCTGTAATTTTAATTAAAACATGCACACCTCACTCCAAGATTAATTCAACCAAGAGTTGTTGAGAAATATTAAATTGACGGAAAATGAACTCTTAATTTACTTATGATCTTCAATTATATAATAAAATAATAACCATATATATATATATATATTAGAAGATAAATTCAATCTTGATCGGAATAATATATAATTATATTTTTAATCGAATTCGTGATAAAATAAAACTTTAAAGATCGAATCCAAGCCCAAAGTAAAATAATAAATAAATAAAAACCCAACACAATTCTTTAAAAAGATAATCTTTTTATCAATAAAAATCGAATTAAATCGAATCGAATCAAATTTTATATAAAAACCGAAAGGAAAATTTTTTTCAAAACAAAAGATACGAATATAAATATATATATATATGCATACACACAATTTCCTTAAACATATATAATCTTGAAACTTCCCTTGTTTGGATACTTATAAATCCCAATTCCAAAGTTAAAAAGAGCCGTTTTACATTGATGAACTCTTACTGGTGTTCTTACCAATCTCTCCTGTATGCCTCAAATCCGAATCTTTGTCTCTCTCTCTTCCTTTCTTGCAGGAACAAAGATCAAATCTGTTACTGCTCTTGCACTTGTTTCTGGATCCTTGAAGAACAGGATTCCAGACAAAAACGCAATCAAATTAAAGGTCCAACCGCATAATTTGCTAAAAAGGTCCAATCTTTGGAAAGAAAAAAAACAGTCGGTCTCTTTTCAGTTGTAGTTCGGTTCCCGTTCTCAAATTCTACGCGATAGTCGTGCGTGACTGTATGTATGTAAGGCCATGAATCCTATCCGCGACGGGTTTTTTTCTCGTTCAATGCTTCGACTTCTCTTGGCATGATGATGATACATAGTTTGTGATGTTTGATTTGGTTATGAATGAGAAACTAATTAACCAGTTCCTCCTGAACAAAATGTGCATTAACTCGTTTATGTCGGGTTTGAGGGCCATAACATTACATAACCGATCGAGATCCTCTAAGAGCGGATTTCGATCTGTTTTGAGAAAGGGTGAGACAAAGAAACAGCGAAAAACCGGAAACTGCTGAGGAACAGAAGGAAACCTCGTCTGCTTTCTTGTCTGTTTTTCTTGTCAATGGATTCTCTTTGATTCAGTGGACTGGGACTTTGACCCAACCATTGACAAAGGCAGCAGCTAATATGACGAAAGGGGTCGACATACCGAAGATGATGATGTAAGGGAGAGGCGTCTTCATCGGATTCTCGCCTTCTCTTTCTCCGGCCGTTTGCACAAACCCGTTTGTACCCTCTTCATCATGAACAATATGCAGACTGTGTAATAATTGAATCAAAATATAACAGAGATACATTTCTAAATACAAAATAAAATTCTTATTAATTATATATATTTTAAAAAATGCTACTTGAGATATTATCAAAATATGGTCTTGATGTTCTAGTTATTACATGATTAATTGAAACATAATCTAAGACAAAACATGATTTGTGATTTATAAAGAAAACATAATAGTTGTAAAAGTTTATTCCATACTTATGAAAAACGGATTAAAAAAAATTCACATAAGCCTCTCTTATTTTTAAATTTTGATCTTACCATATCCGTATCACTAATTCATTCCCACAAATGAGAGATTGTTGCAAGTAATTAATTATTTCTAATTAGATAGTAATTAATTATACTTTGTTGAACTCTTTGTATTTGCTTTTAGTTATGCAATTTATTATAACCTTTTTTTTCATATTAAAGTTTGTTGAAATTCACTTTTCATAATGGAGGTTTCTCTCCCAACTCACCAAAAGTTCCACACTTTGATTGAAAACGAAGTAATATTTGATTTGATCACGTGCTGCCGTGTTATATGCTTAGTTGATTAGCAGAAAATTAATAAAAAAAATTATAATTACATATTTCAAATTAATGACTCAAAAGTGGGATGGCAAATTTGGTAAATTAGAGTAACATTAAGTGTAAAAGTGCAACGACGGTTTTCTCTGTTTAGATTCCTTCAAAGTTCTCTCCTTTCAAGAACTCCCCCTGATTCACGTTTCCGTGAGACTTTTGTATGAAGAATAGTCCACTGTCATTAAATTTCTTCCACTCTATGTCATTGATCTGCGTAAATCTCGATTTTTTCGGAGTACCCTTCTCGTGATTCCTTCTGGGCAGCTGCTCTTTCTTCTTCAAATCTGGTTAGATCTTGTAAATTTCGCGTTCGTTGATTCATCCCAAGTCAAAGCTCGACTCGGTAATGGCGTTTCTCTGATATTTCCTCAATTTTGTTGTTTGGGTTTCTATTGCAGGCTTTGCGGCAGCTGAGAAGCTCGTGTTCCGTTCATGGGTCCCTACTATTTCTGGATTTGAAGATTGAAAGGATGCCCCTTTTGCTGTGGTTTAGGGTTTCCGATTGCTCGTTCTTTTCCCTCGTGGAAGCGTAGAGTTGGGTTTCTGCTACATTGCTCTTGACATTTCGAAGTAGTTCAGATCGGGCTGTTCTTGTCTGAATTCGAAAATTTGGTCGATGCTTCTGGTTTGGTAGTAGTTGCTCCAATGGCTAATCCTTGGAAGAGACAGAGACTTAGAGACTCGGCTTTTCGCCGTTTAGTTCTCTTCGTTGGAATGACTCTTTCAGTAGTTCTGTTTTTGGTGTCTATGACCAGAACAAGTTCGAACAGGAAGTTGTCTGATCTGTATGTAGATAATAATTTGGACCAAGATTTGGAATCTAAGCTGAACACTTCATTGCTAACAATAGCTAGAGGCAACGAAATGTCGGTAAGGTTGCACAGAAGAAACCACTTGCCGCCGAGAAATCTGGATTTGTATCCTCGTTTGGCAAAGGATCATATAGTTGTTGTCTTGTATGTTCACAATCGGGCACAATATCTCAAAGTGGTTGTGGAAAGCTTGTCCAAGGTAAAAGGAATAGACGAAACACTGTTGATTGTTAGCCATGACGGTTACTTTGAGGAGATGAACAAGATCGTCGAAAGCATCAAGTTTTGTCAGGTGAAACAGATATTCTCCCCCTACTCTCCTCACATATTTCACGGTAGTTTTCCCGGGGTATCTCCGAACGATTGTAAGGGCAAAGATGACGCGGAAAGGAAGCATTGCGAAGGGAATCCCGATCAGTACGGCAACCACCGGTCCCCGAGGATTGTGTCCTTGAAGCATCACTGGTGGTGGATGATGAACACGGTTTGGGATGGATTGGAAGAGACAAAAGGTCATGAGGGTCACATCCTTTTCATCGAGGAGGATCATTTTCTTTTCCCTAACGCTTATCGCAATATACAGATTCTTTCCAAACTGAAGCCGGAGAAATGCCCTGACTGCTATGCTGCTAATCTAGCACCATCTGATGTGACCTCAAGAGGAGAAGGCTATGCCAGTTTTGTCGCCGAGAGAATGGGAAATATCGGTTATGCTTTCAACCGAACCGTGTGGAGAAGCATACATAAGAAGGCCAAAGAGTTCTGTTTCTTCGATGATTACAACTGGGATATAACCATGTGGGCAACTGTCTTTCCATCGTTCGGTTCTCCTGTTTACACCTTACGAGGGCCTCGGACTAGCGCTGTCCACTTCGGGAAATGTGGCTTGCATCAAGGTAAAGGAGACAAAGGTGCTTGTATCGATAACGGGTCGGTAAATATTGGTGTTGAGGAAACAGATAAAGCTGTCAATATCAAAGAGGAATGGGGAGTTCGGGTATTCAAGCATCAACCCGGATATAAAGCTGGGTTCAAGGGTTGGGGAGGGTGGGGCGACAGGAGGGACCGCCAATTATGTTTGGCTTTTGCCACGATGCTACATTCCGGAAACACTGCCCCTATCCCTTCAAGAGTTGGGAGTTCCCGGAATTTTCGTTGATGCCGATATATTCAACGAGGCATGTCTTATGTATTCTCACGGGACGGGAATTATTGAAATCCGTAAAGGGATAGGTAGGCTATGTTAGAAATTTTTTGTCATGTGTGCCCTACTGTATACTCTGATATGTATGCTTCACAAGCCTTGCTCTCATGAGGTTTGCCTTCCAATCTGACATTTGCAAGAAGACATTAAAATTCCTGTATTTTTGCTCTGATTTCTTGAATTTGTTTTCTATGGCGAGTTTATGGCCATATATGTCTCTGTCACAATTCTGTAATGCTGGTATTAGATCATACATGTCAATTGCCTGGTTATCTCTGGTTTATCCTTTTTCTTTGGTTCCATTCAATATGGTATCAAAGATTAGATCTTCTGTTGCGCCCGCTCTCTTTTCCAGATTTCCGGTTTCGGTTCTTCGATTTCTTCTCGTTTCTGATTGATTTCGGTTTCGTTTCAAGTCCGTTTTGCTCTGTTCGCAGCCTCGAGCCTCGGTGTTCTTGCTGTCGTACTAATCATCGTATCTCGAGTCTCTGTATTACAGGGATTTGCTGAGGTTGATTGTTACATGGTGCTAGGTTTCTGTTCTTGCATCTTTCCACTTACGTGCAGGTGCAGATTCAAGAAATCGAATCTTGAGGGGCCCGTTCAAGAAACCGAACATAAACCCTCTCAGGTATGATCCCATTTGCCATTATTATCCCTGGCAATGCCATGAACGTTTTTCCTCTATCACATTCTCTATCTGTCTCTGTTCTTGCTCAGTGCTCTCGTTTTCCGGCTTTTGCAGGTCTCGTTCTCGGGATTGCACAAAGCTTTTCATATGTTGTATCGCAGAATATACTCGGTACGGATCGTTGGATTCGAGCATTCTGTTTGGTTTTCATAATATTTAAGCCTTTCTGTAGTAGGATGCTGATTTATTACAAGTAGTACTTATCAGCCTCTTGAAACTATTGCCGTGGGTGATAGATAACTAACCATTGGCTTCAATCGACATCCAGGCTATAACTAAACGGCACGCAGTTCAGCTTTCTGGACATGGAACAGCAGGGTGTCTCTCTCTGTCACCCGGCACACTGTTCCGATCTGTGCGGTTTAAACGGCAAGACGTCCTTTCAGTCTCGGACTCGAGAATCTCCGCGTCAGTTGCCAGAGCAAAACAAGAAGATGACAACAGACACTCTGAATTAAAAAAAAATCTTTACTCGAGAAAATTCAGAACAGAAACCTGGATGAAAACAAGAACCCTAACGAGAACATGAATTCGAGGCTCGTTTGGGTTCTTGGTCGATGAAAAAGCCGAAAGCTTTCGGTCTGTCTATCTCTGGGTTTCTGATTTTGCAAATCCTTGTTTTGAGATCCATTGAAAGTATGTTTATATATCGGAGATAACCCGTCGTTGTTCACAAAACACTCGGACCCGAACCTGCGGTCTAGATTCTTCGTCTCGGCGCATCGGTCTCCGGTTTCGTTTTTTAGCGAATACCCATGTACGAAATACCCGCGGAACCGGGTATCCGGAAATCCGCAAATTTCAAGTACGCGTGCCGAGCCTTAGCCATGAATACTACGACAAAGGTTCAGCAAGGGAACGATGCCTTGTTGTACACGGAAGCCATGGATGGAAGATAGAGATCAGAATCTTTGATCAAATCCATGATTATTTTTTTTTTTTTGCTGTAACATCAAAAAAAGGTTGTTTCTTTGTCATGTTCGTGGAAAATACTCGGAACCCTTCAAACAAGTTCATGTCTTTTTTTTTTTGGGGTCCTCACAATGACTTGAGGGTCATGATTTTATGAGTCAATGTGACAAAAATCCAAACTTGTTTTAAAGGGCATTGACCAAAGATTCGTAAAGACTAAAAACCCATCCAATGAAAATCTAAATTTTGATTCGAAACCCTAATCGTCGAATTCTGAGATTTCAACACTAACATCATGTGATTAACCTTAATCTCAAGAATTAAACCTTAGCATTTTGAATTGTTGAACTATAAAAGATAAAAATGGAGGAAATTTTCCATTGTAAAAAAGACAAGTTAGATAGAGTTATCTCAAAGATATGAGCTACAATGTCTGAGATATGAACCGTTAATTACTGCAGTTCGAATCTTCACACAACGCAAAAAATGGAGGAAAATAGAAAGGACCATGCATGCATGGCGAAGCCATACGCCAAAAAAGGAAAGAGTGTTGCAGAATTCTAAAGCGTAATCAGTTTCCGGGAATCGAATCTCATCTCCGCCTTCATCTTCCTTATGAAATCCTCGCATTTCTTGTTCAGTTCTTCTGAACTTAGACAATCATCATCATCATGATCATCACCATCATCACCGCCACCAGCATCATCCACTCGGACGATAGCAAGATCCAATGCTTCGCCTTCACCGTCTTGCACAAGCGATGAATCTTCTTCTTCTTCTTCTTCTTCTTCTTCTTCTTCTTCTTCTTCTTCTTCTTCTTCTTCTTCTTCTTCTTCTGCTGCTGCTGCTGCTGTTGCTGCTACTGCCGCTGCAATACTCTTCACTTTGACCAGTTGTTCGTTTCTTTTGTTATGATTGATGGATTTTTCCTCGAAAAGGGTACCTGGATTCCCCAAAGAATCCTTAAAAACAAAGCCTATGATGCCATTAAACAGCAAGAACACGTACTTCTTGTCCATGAAGCTAAGGTTCCTATACAGATTCTGCTGAAAAACAGAGATCAAGAGAGAGCATGACACGACGAAAGAGATCATCGACGCCATGGCCATGACTTTCTCAGCCATTCGGATCCTCTTTCTCTCTTTCTCTTGCCTCTTAACCTCCATTTTTTTTTTTTTGCTGTAAAATGATGAGCAGAATCTGGAAAAAGGGATGGAGAGTTTGCATTAGCAACGCTTTGGAAGACCCGGTATATATAAGGATGGGTTTTGGTCGATTTTACCGTTCTGCCCTTTTTATACGCTCTCTACTTGTTGAATGGATCAAACAAAAAAAAAACCGAACGAATTGAAAAATAAAAACTTTTGGATATTGGATTATCTACGTAATTTTATCCAATTTTTAAAATGTTTTAAACGGATTAATACCACGCGGCTTAGCCTTTAATTAGCAATAATACCCTTGAAATATATTAAAAACAATTAGCCAATGAAATATTAAGGAGACCTACTATTTTGTATTGTAGAGCTATTTAATGGAATCTAACATCAATACATGTTATATTGAGGAATTCAAACTCATTTAATCATGGGCTTACCAAAAAATCCACCTTTTATTTAAGTTAAAATCGAAATTCTAACGAATCAAATAATCATGATTTTATATATTTTAAACCTTTTTTAATTACGGTTTGTTTTTCTAAAATATTACTAGTTTTTCTAAGCTTTATTTCTTTTGTCGGGTTCGATTTATTCATTACAAAATTTCTATATGATCAATTGGGCGGTAATATAAAATTTAGGACATGACACATTCTATTTATTTTTGGGTATTATTCACTAATATATACTATATAGTCGGATCAAATTAACTTTTTTAGAGTTATTATCTGTAGAGGGATATATTTGTATTTTCACAAATTGTAATCAGGGTTTAGAATTTGTATAAATACCTCACTAATGTAAATAAGAATCCAAAACCTTATATTATCCACTTACTACTAGTAATTTGTAGGTTATTTTCCTTGATGTTTTTTTTTTTTTTATAAGTACCTATTTATGTGGATATGATATACTCGAAATTATATGTATTTGGGAAAAGATAATATTGTGATTGAAATTAAATATTAAAAAAAATTCTATGGTATCTGGATTGTCTGAAAGAGTACATGTACGTAAACGTCTTTTTCTATTGTAATCAAGTTGGTCTCTCACCCCTCAGCTTCATCTCAATTTCGTGACTATTTCGTTGAAATGTCGACGCTGATTCATGTAAAAGAAGAAAAAAAAAAAAGACTTGGAATTAATTATTTTTAGGGTCAATAGATATTGTCTTATTTGCTCTATAAATATTCATATATATTATTACATATCATAACAAAAAAAAAAGGAAAGAAAAAAAAAACATTCTTGTGGCAATTACCTGATAATAGCGTCATGCGTATTTTTATTTATTTATTTGAATGCAACAATTATACTTACTTAATTTTTATATCAGTTTTTAAAACTTTTGATTTTCATTTAAAAAAAATATCAATTTCTCTATATTTTGTGTAATTCAAATCTAATAAATTGTTTATAATCTAATTTTATTTTTAGATCATTTTTGTGTAAAATACAACTATTATCAGTCATTTAAATTTTATTCAACTTCATTTTACGAACCAAAAAATCTCTTCCTGTCCTGTTTCCTTTGTTTCTTAAGCTCTTCTTAGCTCAGTGTGTTGTTAACATTAAGAGAGAGGATTTTTGGGTTTTTTTTGGGTGTGTTCTTCTGGGTTTGGGAAGATGAGGGCGGTGCATTTTAGCACGGGGAGGTTAGCGACAGGGTTTTTATTGTGGTTTTGGCTTTGTGGGCTGATTTCGGTATCCTGCGCCGCGAGGTTTAGCGATTCAAGGCAGAAGTTTGAGGTGCAGAAGCACTTGATCAGGTTGAACAAACCAGCTGCTAAGATCATTCAGGTTCAGAATCTCTCCTCTCTTTGTAATTTAAGGATTTTTTTAGCCGAGTTCAGGGTTTTTTTGTGTGTGTCTTTTTCTCTCTCTCTCTTTTCAAATTTGTTTGTTTGACGGGGAAATGAAGGAAAATCTGGAAAAAATCCTAGTCTGATTATTCCTCCTTTGTCTACTGCTACACGATGATTTTTTTTTTTTGGTAAAAGGTATATATTCGATCCGATTTCCTTACATCTTCGTGTTCTTTCCCAAAAAATCTCTTCTTTTGCACAGTTAATATTATTACTCAGAAAGCATCGTTATATATATATATATATTATATATATATATATATATATATATATATTATATAATGTTAATAGGTACTGTACATATTATTATAGCCTATATATATATATTATGCAGTATGCATTATATTGTATATTTTCAGTCTAATAGAGACGCTGATGTGCTTGCCATTACGCAGACTTGATGAAACCATAGTCGCATACCGTCAACAAAAACTAAGTGCAATCCATTAATTGGCTCAAGTTACATTGTACCGACATGTTTTATTGTGATGCAAGACAGTAATAGTAGAAAAAAACCGAAGTAAACCAAATTTGAGCCATAATCAAACCAAATTTGTTTTATAAATTTAATTAGTTCGATTTTATTTTGGTGTAACTGCTCTCTACATCCGAAAAAAAAAAGAAAAATATCCGTGTAATGTCCCGAGACCGTTATTGAATGTTGAAACTGCCTCAGCGATCAACACGAGACTTTTTAACGTACTTTGTCCTCATACATACGTATAGCGAAAAATATTTTTTATGAAGTCACTCATCGTAAATACTAATACAAAGCCATCGTCACGCTTAATTTTAGAGTTTTTTCATTATGGTCAGCCGAAAAAGTAGATGCATCTTGTTGGTACGACTAGTTCAATTAATTCTTTTAAGTTGTCATTGATTGCGTAGTTCCATACCTAGACAGTCTTCGCATCTTTATCATTCCGGTGTGTTCGATTCATTTATGTATCCCTCTTTGTCTAGTGGTCTCCGGAGAATCGTTTTTTATCCGTGCCACTTGAACCGGCGATCACTCTCCACCCTCGTGATAGCCCGAGACGTCACAATCCGAATAAACAAAAATGATAGTAATTAATACTGGAATTCAGTTTATTAAAAGACAACCTTTCAACTCAAATCCAAAAACAATTCAATTCAATTCAATTCAATTTTAGTTTGATTTAGTTTAAACCATACAAAATAGCTCATTACGGCGCAGTTGATCATGTTATCTAACTTTTTGTTACAACCAATTCAAGGTAAAAATAATAATAATAATCCAAATTTCATGTTTTTATTGTAAAATGTTTAGCTAAATCTGTTTTTTTTTCTTAAAAATCTGTCTAGGTTGGGGTTTAGGGTAATTCGGTTTTTAAAAAATTGTAATCGATTTAAACTTGAAACACATCATGGACACTCAAACTTTTTTTTTTTTCATATTAAGCTTTGGTTTAGTTCCATTTTTTCTAAATAAAAATTAGAATATAATTTCCTCTAAAATTGTATCCCAAGAAATTGATAGATCATGATTCGAATTTATTCGAATTGATTTTATTAGTTAATCCAATTCAAGTTTTTTTTTTCCACTTTTTTTTTTCTTTTGTTTCGCAAGCATTACAAGGTTTATGTTCTTTGCTTCCTCGTTCCCAACATGCATTTGCTTGATCAGACAAAACTCAGATAAATCTCCATGTTTATTAAATTCAATTCATCAAATTCACGTTAATAAAAAAATATATGACTGATTATTATATATTTTTTAAATTTATTTTATTCTAATAGCTAATTTAATGCCTTCAAAGCACCGAACTCTGAATATATTAAAATATTCAGATGCATGTATACATTAAAATATACTATTGCATGTATAGGGTTCCCTTTGGCCAGTAATAACAATTTGTTATTAATGAAACAAATAAATTACTCCGTCGTTTTAGATTTTATCACAGTTTTTAAGAAAATCTAAAAAAAATCATATATATTCTTATTAATTCATATTTTTATTAATGATTGAAATATTTTTAAATAAGGGTAAATTTGAAAATTTTACTAAAAATTTGCCTAGAAAATATAAAACGATATATATTTAGTAACACAAAAAAAAGTTTCTAAACCGACATGTATTTAGAAACGGAGATTAATTAATTAATTAATTAAACTTTAAGGAAACGACAATTTGATATGGTCCCCAATCCTAGATTCACTCGTTAATCGTACATAGTCGTAGGTAAACAACATTCTTTCCGAGTCAATTAGCGTTTTCCAAAGCAAAATTAGCTTCAATCAACACGATTAATCAAGGGGATTAGCGCTAATTAATTAAGCTAATTATTCATAATTTCAATGTAACTTTTATAGCTAAAACTGCAAGCAAAACGCAGCCTACCTTCGTTTAATTAGTCTTCGAGTCTCAACTTGCCGACAAGTGGCACCTTCTTTCTTGCACAATTTATTTAAATTCTCCTTCTATTTTGTTTTATTTTTTCCAATTTTTTTTTATTGAAATTTCAAATGCTTAAATACTCAAACAAAAACACAAACATATATATACACTTCTGTATAATACGAAATTGAAACAAATGCATTTGTAATGTTGAGTGGTGCGACAAAACAGCATGGCCAAAAAGTTATGGATTTTTTTTTTTATAAAAGTAATTATTAATGATGATATATAATTATTAAAAGGCTACAATTACTATGGAACAAAAAAAGAAATAAAATTTTAGTATTTACAATAGCGAATTTATTAAATAATTAAAATATTTATTTAAAAAATTAGAATCATATACTCCCTCCGTTTTATTTTAAATGTCGTTTAAAAATACTACATACAAAATTAAGAAAAATAGTGTTTTAACCGAAATACCCTTATTTATTGCATAGATAATTATTACTTCTAAACATGCAAAATATTTAAATATTATTAATTAAGGGTAAGTTTGGAAAAAAAATATTAAAAAGCACATTGAAAATCGAAAAACGTCATTTATTTTGAAACAAAAAAATTGTTTTAAAACGTCATCTATAATTAAATAGAGGGAGTATTTAAGAAAGCTAATCTTCCGTATAATCAATAAGAAAAGGTACTTTTCCATTGTTCAGGCTTATAAAGCTTAATAGTACTTTATAAAATTAAGCAAGCAAAATATTTTTTTTTTGGAAACTAATTAATTAGTTACTAGTGTAATCATCATAATTAAGTCATAACCAATGATGCGATCAATTATTATTAAGACTCACTTTCATAAATGGCCACAAATAAATTTTAAAAGTGTCATTAGTTATAAAAAAACAAATGAATTATTTTTTATTTTATGAATAAAATTTTAAAGCTGGCATTTTGCAAAGGCATATGTATATAGCTTTATAAACTTTTTCGCTTGAAGCAAATCATGAAGAGGCCAATATCGCCGAAAAAACTATAACGCATAAAAATTAATATAATTTTAATTGCAAAAAGCGACGTCGGCGGCATGATTACTTTGTATGGATAATGTGATATATACAGCAAGTGGATGCCATCATGGCTCGAGAATGTTATAAAGTACCAAGGCACACGCCACAGGCCACACGCTTTAATTACTAATTAGTACTAAACCCTAAATCTTATATATATATATATATATGTATATATATGTATATGTATGATAACCTCGTTATCCAAGTTTGAGTTTGCTATTATATAAACAATATATATATATATATATATATGAAAACCTTATGCATTACTCCATTTCTAGATATCATTTTAGATAATATTTTATATTATTCGATATATATCGTTTTAGATTTTTTTAAGTGATTTAAAAAAAATCAATTTTATCCTAAATGAAAAATATCCGATAGATTATTAATGGAAATGTGGTTTAATGAGCGTGTATAATATCTTTTTTTTCTATGTTTTTTTAAAATTATGAAAAAAATCCAAAACGACATATTATTATATTTTTTAGGAGTATTACATTTTTATTTATTTATATTACGTAAATATTTTTTATTGATAAATGTGCAATTCGATATGGAATTATATATATATATATATATATATAATTTAACAGCTGACGGATTCAAATAAAAGCTATACATTAATTTCATCCTCTTCCCCCCTAAACCCTAAACCCTCGGTTTTGTGTCTACGTGAGAAGATACAAAATGCTAATACAAATTTTATATTTCATCGGGTTTCTTGAAAGCTGATGAACCATCGTGCATATATATATATATATATAATCCTTGTAAATGCTTTTTAAGTCTTCGAGGTGAAGCATATTATATATATCGATTTCATCCTAAACATTGTAACCCTAAATTCTCGAGTTTATATGGACTTTTTCCCAGTGAGACAAAACTCACGAATATCATTTTTTTTTTCTGAATCGAATGAGAATTAATTCAGAACTTTAGTATTCATAAATACGCAACGTGTGAATTTTAATCACCAATCAAAATCCAAACGCACGCATAAAATGTTCCAAGATTTAGACAAATATACACGTATAATGTTATTTCATTCGGTCCAGTTTTATAAATTCGAACAACAATGCAATAGGTGCCATTTTATCTTTTCTAAACAATTTTTTAAAATAATTTATAATTTTACCTTTAATTAAAACTATTATAATTCAAATAAACTTTCAATAACGATGTGGTTTTTATCATTAAACTTATATGAAATAAGAATGTGTAAAACTTTTTTTATATATATTTTTTAAAAAAATGTGAAAAACTATAAAACCACAATTCTTTATAAAAGGAGAGAGTAGTTAATTAAATAATTAGTTAATTAATTTTTTGTTGTAATATTCTCGCGAATTGGAGCGGTGCAGGTCCTCAAATCTCGAAGCGGCGAGATGAAACAGTACCCTGCAGGTTTCTGGTTTTCTTATATTATTAATCTTTATTTTATTTTTCCTATTTAATTCGTAGATTTCCATGAATTCATATTTATAGGGTTTGAGGAATTTATTTGTTTTTTCCCTTTCCGATCTCTCCCGTCAACCGCCTTTATAAATATATATGAATCGAGCCCAAAACCCTCATCACTTTTTTTTTTTTTTTTGCATTTATATCAAAATCCAAACCCTAGCTACCGGTAATCCCTTCTTTCATTTGATTGGTCTTGATCTTTAATTAGATCAAACCCATCTTGTTTTTTGCTAGGGTTTTTGGCTGGAAACCTCGCAACAGTCTTGTTCGTACATCATCTTCTTTTTCATTAAATTGTTCCATATTCTCGATTGATATTTAACATGAATCTTGGAAACGTAATCGAAGATTGGACGGGTTTCGTTTCGATTTTCTTGAGGAAAGTGCCGAGTTCTTGGCTCTCTCTTCTTCTTCTCCTAACTTCATCTGCTGCGCTGTTCTTGTCCTCCTCCTTCTTCTCCTTCACCGTCCTGATCCCGAAGCAAGAAAACGTTCCGACATCTTCAACACAACGAGACAAGAACGGTCAAGAACAAGAACAAGAACGAGGGCTGGATCAGCAAGAACGAGAGATGTCGTTTCTTGACGAGTCAGAATCCTCGACCAACACCGACGACTCGGAGTACGTGGAGACGACGACCGATGACGGGTCCATCTCGGACGAGGAAAGCCTCATAGAGCTCTCCTTACCGAGCGGCCACTACATGGGACAGTACTATGGTGATCATGACAAAGGAGAAGAAGACGATGACATCAAAGGGTACAGAAACAAGAACCAAATGTATAATCTCCGGAAGAAGAACATCCAAGATTTGAGGCTGTTTGAGCTTTTGGCAGAGTTCAACGGCATGGTCGAAGAGGACAACCTTATCGAAATCGACATCTCCATTGGTTCCATCAAGTGTTCCAGGTTTGAGATCACAGCTTGATATGATTTTGATGAACACATATATATAAATTAGCATTAATTTTTATATCCTATGGTTTGAAAATTTCGATTTTTTTTTCCTTATGGGGGATTTGTATAAGGAATAAAACTCTATTCGATGTAATTAATTAAACCGTTTTTGCACTCTACGAGTGCTATATATGTTTTGCTCTTATTTTTTTTGTTTCTGCCATTGTTACAAATTCTACAATATATGTATGTCTTAATCTTATATATAAAACTCAACTTGTCTCATTTTTCCTTAATGTCCGGTTTTACTCCTTTATATTATATATATATATATATATATATATGTCAATATCTTACTATATATGTAAAAAAATACATATCACATATATAACTGATATAGTTTTGTATTTTATATTCTGTTAACTGATTTACTTGGTAAAATTAAATCAAATTACCATAAATGAAAACAGCGGAATAACCAATACGTATACATTTACACACATATATATATATATATATATTATTAATATATATATATGGGGATAAGGTAAGGATGACGAAAACTCTCGGCTTGGCTTAGCCGAATAAGCCGACTCAAAGATTCTCCATCATATCACGTTGCATTTACTTTTATCTGTAAAATAAAACTAAATTCCAACATCCCGTCTGTTACGTGGTTGATCCTGAACCGTCCAGATCCCATTTACTACTCTTTCGATCAACGGGTAACAAAATTTCCACGTGTCTAAATCTTATCGAGAAATAACGACCAGAAATCGTCCACGTGTCATTCCCGATGCAATTATTACCCTCTCGATCCAACGGACCCAAAACACTCTTCATCTCTCTCTCTCTCGGCGATTTCCCCTTCTCCTCCGCGCCACCGTGAGTGTACGATTTTACCCCTACGCAGATCGCGGGAGAGCCGATCGTTCTCGCCGGAATCGGATCGGAGATGGCGGATTCGGATAACGAATCGGGAGGAGGATACAGGGACGGAAACAACGCCGCCGGGGGAGGCGGGGACTCGTCGACGCGCGAGCATGATAGGTTCCTGCCGATCGCGAACGTGAGCCGGATCATGAAGAAGGCCTTGCCTGCGAACGCGAAGATCTCAAAGGACGCGAAGGAGACGGTGCAGGAGTGCGTGTCGGAATTCATCAGCTTCATCACCGGCGAGGCCTCCGACAAGTGCCAGAGGGAGAAGAGGAAAACAATCAACGGCGACGATCTTCTATGGGCGATGACGACCCTAGGGTTCGAGGACTACGTCGAGCCACTGAAGGTCTATCTTCAGAAGTACAGAGAGGTAGAGGGAGAGAAGACGACCACCGGGAGACAAGGCGATAAAGAAGGCAGCGGCGGCGGAGGCGGAGGAACGGGAGCTCCCGGCGGGGGTGCGGCGGGATCCGGCGGCGGAGGGTACAATGGGGGAGCGGGGGGAGGAGGAGGGATGGTGATGATGGGGCATCATCATAATCAGGGCCACGTGTACGGTGGAGGAGGACTTCATCATCATCACCACCATCACCATCAGATGAGTGCCGAGAAAAGTGGGTCCGGCCCGGGTGGTGGTGCGGTTAGGTCAAGGTAGGCTTTGGTGGTGGTCGGTTGGGTCTGCTAAGGACGGTAATTATTATCATAATCATGATTAATTATTATCATAATTATGATTATTTAAAAAAAGGGGATTAAGACAAAGGTCGTTTACGTCTCCTCCGGTGTTAATTACTCGATTTTAATTTTTAAGTATGTTTTTTTTTTAAAAAATGGATTAACTTGTTCCGAAATTCCGAATGGTTAGGCTCCACGATCGATTTTATCTCTCTTTTTATTTTTTTTATATCCATGTTGTAACCTCTGTTTATTTAGTGCTAATTAGAAGGGAGCCTCTCTCTTTGTATCTTGTGTGTGACTGTAACTTTAATTAAAATTCCAATTTTGTGATTTTTATTATTTGGTTACGTGTAATGTAATGTAATGTAATGCAACAGTACCATTTATTACATTTCACCTAAATAAAGCAATTTTTTTTTTGGGTAAAACAATTTTGGTACATTCATAGGGTTTAGACATATAACAGAACTAACAGTTTGGGGGTGAATATTTTGAGTTTTTTTTTAAAATAATTAAAAATGATTGGAAATATAAAAAATAGTAAGCCCTATGCATGCATGGCCACGCAAACAGACATGCAATGGCTCCGGAGTTATTACAACATTTGATTTTGCCCGTTTTGAGACGGTCGTTTATTCGGGAAAAAAAATACAAAAAAGAAAATGACAGAATATTACACAAACGTGGCAAACAAAAAGAAAAAAAGGGGATTAAAACAGTACAATACGGAGAAACAAGACACGAGAGTTTTTTTTTTTGTTGTTGATGTAATTTGCTGACAAGATACGAGAGTTGGTTACAGAGAACTCCCACCTTGTCGGGACACCAGTTCATCCGCGTGACTGCTGTTGCAGTACATGTAGATTCTGCGTCCGGACGAGGTCGTGGTAGGAACCGGGGAAAAACCAGTGTAGTCGTTCTCCATCTTCTTCACGCAGATGTTAGCCATGTACCTGAACATCTCGTGCCTCTGGACAAAGGGCTGGTTCACGTATTCCTCGACCGGCATCCACTGACATAGGAGAACAGAGAAAACGCATCAACGTCGGGGAAAAATCCGGTTAGATTGCTTTTCCGTTCTTCGCTTTCTTGATTGATGGAGTCGATGGTTAAAGAATCTTGCTTACCTTTGCGGCCAATATCTCCGATTCTTGTTTCTTGATTTCGTAGGAGTGGGCTTTCAAGACGCATAGGAAGAACAGATCTGATTTCCCGTGGAACGATCCGTGGCTCTGCCTGTTGTGAGGACGAGAATGAAGATGTCAAAGAGTCATGTTACAGATGATAATAAAACGCAGTCTCGGTTGCAAAGGCGGATCCTGATGAGATAGATAGGGGCCGGAATGAAGCAATTCCGTTTACCTGAATGCTAAGATTTCCACAAAATCTGTGTCAATCTGAAGAAGGAAAGAGACGAGAATGCGGATTTAGTTTGCAGCAGTGAATGAAAACCCGAAACTAGAAACGTTTCCAGGGTCTGGATACGAAATACGTACACCAGTTTCTTCTCTGACTTCCCTTACCGCTGCATCGATAATATGCTCACCCTGTAGATAGAAAGTTCAGACAACTCGGGAAAGATAGATATGGGGAAGGACAAAAACCAAATCCAGACCAAGGACCCAGATCTAGGACGGGGAGGGTGATTGATAACGGAGACTTTGTTCTTTGAAACCTTATAGAGATTGGTCCTAGATTACATGCAAGATCTATAAGTTGCAGCCTCGATTTAAAGAAATCATCAGAAACAAAACAAAGGATGGCAACGCATTGCTTTTCTGGGTTTGATACTTGGGCCAAAGTCGGTTCACTGATTCAATCCATTGTGACTGAGTTTTTAAGAGAATGACTACGAGCTCGGGACGGTTGAGTGCGGCATAATGTGAAAGAAACTCGAAGCTGGTTACGAAGATAGTAACGATACCTTGTCTAAGCTTTGCAGATTTCAGGTCAGTTCTTTTATATATTCAGATATTTCTTCCCAATTGTAAATGCTCCCACACACATATGACTCACCTGGTTAACAACGCCGGTAGGTAACTTCCACACATTCGTCCCTCTGAAAGGGCCACCAGTCTCCTGAACCACGAGCACCTACACACGGGAATAAATTCATCTGGGTTCAGTCGAAAGTGCGGTTATGTACTCTACCCATTAATCGGTGACAAACGAGCATCAAGGAGAAAACTTTAAGGCCAAAACACCGATCAGAAGACCCGTGGATTATCAAAGAGCTTATCACTTCAGGCTTATTTAAGCAAACTGTTTCTTGAACGGGAGAAAGAAGGGGAGCTTGGCGCACCGGTTAAGGTATTGCCGTTGTGACCTAGAGGTCACGTGTTCGAGTCCTAGAAGCAGCCTCCTGCAGAATATTCTGCAAGGCAAGGTTTGCCTACAATACACCTTTGTGGTGGGACCTTTCCCCGGACCCCCGATCAACGGGATGCTTTGTGCATCGGGCTACCCCTTTCTTGAAAGGGAGAAACATGTTTCTTTTTTTACCTTTCCGTCGGGGTTGAGGACAAAAGCACCGATGCCCACACGATGAGAAGCATTGGAAGGAATGGTATCGGGTAGGTCAGAGATCCAAGCTACAAGCATCAAGTAATCAGGCTCGGCATGGTGGTATCTAAACCCTTCCTGAAGAATCATAACCAGGAAAAGAAAACATGTTTCAACAACATGAAACGAGGGAAAAAAACGTTAACGTGGACGACATTTCCCAAAACCGGATAGTCTCTCTTACCTGAACTGCAGTCTCGACAAGATTGGCAAGACCAATGGGCATCTTTATCCAAATCCCCTTCTTTCCCTGCAATTTGATGTTGATGTCACCTCACATATTCGATATAACATTATCCAAGTAAGAGTCCATGAACAAGGAAAAGCTTAAGACAGTGGAGCAAAATGAAGCAACTTAATTCCAAAAGGTTTCTATTTCGATCTCGATTTCGAATTTGGGATTTTCTGCCTAAACCATGAAACAACATATCACAGCAAGTAGCTAATGATCACAGAAAAACGGATAATCTAAGAGAGATTATCCTCAATCTACTGTGAATTTTTACCTCTTGTCTCCATCTTTGAATTGAAGCCTGAAGCTTTAGGGCAAAATCCTCTGCATCCATGGGATCTTCCAAATGTACAGTGACACCGTCATAATTGTCATTTACACCTGTAAGAAACTGGACATGTTGAGGTCCTCCACCTTCATTGGAAAGCAGCTCCCTCTCCTCTGACACAGGGCTTGTTGACGATGTTGGATCCGACATTCTTTTGATCAACGATGGAGATCTGTCTGTGACAACTACATAGATCAGGACAAGAAGAAACACGGTTTTCTCAACACCCATGTCAAAGAATTTTCGACCCCTGAAATCAAGATCCCGAATTTCGTCAAGGGAACATTTACAAATGCCCTAATCACAAACGATTCGGGAAAAACCCCCCAGTCCAGATTTCAAGTCATGTCCGAACAAAACACATTGCAAATTCCCCAGAAGAAAACAACCCGTGGTCCGATTTCTTCTCGAGAAATCACAAAACTAGGAAAAGCTCGATTCTGCGAGCAGCAACTGAAGCAAGTACCTGTCTATGGCATGGGGCAATGGAAGAAGAAACTGTGCTCGAAAACGGTGAGAGACTTCTGATTGGAGGCGTGGCGTATATAACGAGCAGAATTTTCACGGCTTCAAACTTTCACGGAAAATTCTCCATGATTGATGCGTTTTTTTGTATTATAAAAATTTCCCGGAAAGTTTCGGTCTTTGATTATTAAATGAAGAGGGAAATTGATGGGAAGTTCTGCTACATGCTGTTTCTTGCCTTAGCTTGGAAGCTCCGTTGCCAAGATCGTGGAAGATTCGGGTGAGTATTCTTTGTCAAACACGTTAGATAACAGTTTAATCTCACATTATTTTTATCGAGTAATTTGATAAAAGAGGAAATATAAAAATTATAAACTTATAGGACATACATTTATAATAAAAAAAATAAATAAGACATGAATTTTGAATGATTGAATATTTAAATAAAAAGAATATCTCAAAATAATAACTGAACTTTTCAATTTTCCCAAAATAAAACCTAAACTTTGTTTTTTATCAAATATAACCTAACTTCATTTTTCAGTAAAAAATAAACCTGATCTTTATAATCTTTGTAATTTTTAACCCTATTGATGACGTGACATTCCGACATCCTACGTGACAAGTCAACATTTTAACTGTATTAGACACATCATCGTCCACGTGTCACGATATCGAAACGTCACGTCAACAATAGAGTTAAAAATTACAAAGATTATAAAGTTCAGGTTTATTTTTGACCAAAAAATGAAGTTGAGGTTTTATTTAATAAAAAATAAAGTTTAGGTTTATTTTGTGAAAATTAAAAAATTCACGTATTATTTTGGGATATTCTCTTAAATAAATCATGAACTTTGAGTTGATTATCTAAATAAAACAAAAAATGTATCCAAACAAAACATGGATATTATTAAGAATCATTTGATTTTATTTGGACATTGGATCCAAAAATTCATGTTTTTATTAGGATATTTAATTCAATCTCATGTTCTATAAACTCAATAGTTTAGATAGACACCAAAACAATTAATATTTTATTTTACATATTTTCCAAAAAACGTTTCACTTTATTTTCATATTCGTTTAACCAATATTCTAATTAAAAATTACCACAATCATCCAATTTTTAAAATATAATAATTGATTTTGTATATGGATAGTCTTTTTTTTCTATTATAAATTAATTTTTCCTTGTGACATCTATTTTTCTATATAGTTTAAATCTTCCTACTACTCTGAAATACTAATATATAATAAAGTAGTATTATTAAATGTATATACGGTTGTGTCACGAAATAGGAAATAGAATAAGAATGTTTCTTAACGACGACAAGTAAATGCATATGCAACGTGTCTAAGTAATTTCACAAAAATAAATAAAATAATTTTGAAAATGAAAAGCAAACCACGATGAATATTATATAGTATATACCTAAGAATGCATTGACATTCGATGCAGCCAACGAATAAACGATTTTTTTTTTTACACAGAAAAAATAATTTCGATTCTATTTATTTAATTTCAAATTTAAGATAATCCTAGTTGACTAAATTCAAATAACATTATAATTCCTCTTTGATCTAACTGGATTCGGACATGAATTAATTTGGTTTGATTTCGTCTTTGTGCTACAATCATGTTCCTCGTTCAATTCCTTCGGTTCGATTCGGTTTAGTCCGGTTGGACCGGTTCATTTTTATTGGTGCAATCTATTGGCATTTTCGTTTTTTGGTGAAATGGGCTTGTAGAATCGGACACCGTTAAAAACATCTTCAGGCCCAAATGGCCCATCTCTCTCTCTCTCTCTCTCTCTATATATATATATATATATCCTTTTACGCCAGAAAATCACCTCAATTTAGCAAAAACTTGCCGGAGACGACGACGACGACGTTAACGTAACCCATCGGCTCAGCATCTGAGAATTCTCTCTCCGCATCCATGGCAGTACGATCTCTTCGCCCTTTTCTCAGATTCGTTTCTCATGCATTGTTGTTTCTTGGGCACTTGCGATTTTGTTTGAAGATTTGAATTTGTCCCTTTTCATGGGCTTTGGTTGTTCTTCCGGTGAATTACTCCTTATTCTGGATGGTTTCGATTGATTTGACCACTTGGGAATTTGATTTTTTTTGTAGGGTTTATTAGAACCGTTTAGTTCATTTCTAATTTCCGCTGAAGTTGATTTTTTTTTCCTTCGATCGATTGGCCTTTTCTAATCTAAGACTGTTTTGCCTTGGGATTCACCGATTGTCTTGCTTTTGTTCCTTTAGTTTTTTTTTGGATTGATGATGGATTTGTGAGTTTTAACTCTCTAATTCTTTGTCTGTTCTGTTGGCAATGGAGCTTCTCGGGCTTCCCTGTTTCATTTTTCGCTTATTTTGGGAGTTAGTGCTTGAAAATTGGAAGTTCGTCTCTGCAATTTCCATGAGTTGGGTGTCAGTTTCAGGAAATGGGTGTAACTTTGATCGAGCTTAGTTTTTTTTTAATCAGACCTTAAGTTCCTGTTTTCATATCAAGCTGTGAAAATGGAGAAGGAAGGAACACCTTGTAAGAGCTTTGTAACTTCTTGGAAGAATCTTAAATGTTCTATACAAATTCAACCGAACATGTGAAGATCGAACTTGGACGCTTGAGCACTTTTGCATTGTAATTGCTCTGATCTTACAATGCTTTAGATGTGTTTCTCTTCTCAGTGTGTATTCTTAATATTTGTGTTGAGCATGGAGGTGTTCATACTATTTACACATCTTCTGAAAATTTTACTGTACTAAGAATCAAATCGGATTAAACTGTGCCGGTTCCAGTGTTTTTTTTTGTTGGGTTTGCAAACTCTAGTTCAAGATTTCCGATATTTTCTGTGCCCTTGAATTGACTGCAGGAAATGGGGCGGCCACTCCCTAAGTTTGGCGAATGGGATGTGAATGATCCTGCATCAGCCGAGGGATTTACCGTTATCTTCAACAAAGCTAGAAATGAGAAAAAGGGAGGCGGCAATTCTGATTCACACGTGAAGGACGAGCCTACTTACAAACATGGCCATGGGGAAGTTCTCGGGAAGCCTCAATCTGTAAGTCCCCACATTTCTTGTTCTTGTTCTGATTACTGTATTATTCCGGAAATTGATGATATCCGGGATTATGGTAAAAGATAGAACAACTTTCTTTCACTAGTTTTTGATTGATGCCACTCCGAAAAATGTTAGCTTTTGAGGGATAAACATCAAAGTTTGAATTTAGAGGTGGAGAACATATGCCATTCCCATACATGTTAAACAATAGCGATATATTGTTCCGTGTGTGTCAGTAAGTGTCACTGCTTCATTTTCTTTTGTTCTCTCATTGATGCCATTGCTTGTAGAAAAAATGGTTTTGCTGTGTACGAGCGGAATAACCGGGAGTGTTCTTGCCTCGGAAGGCCTTCGTCGTATATTTAAACCGAGCCCTAAAATCGTATGGAAGAGACTGGAGCTCATCTCAGAAGCCATGACAGGACAGGTGCTTTTTGGTGTCTGGTTAGATCCTGTTCGAGTGATGCCACTCTGATGTGGGATTTTATGTATGCAGAGAAACATGTTTTTTCTTTATACGTGATGGGTTGTCGTTTCCGTTTGTAAACTCTTGCAAGAAAATTGCTGTTTTATTTGCTGATAATGTCAAGACACTCTTTTGAAGCTACAAGAATGGAGATGACCGCCATGGGTTGTTTCTTCTCATGTCTCCTGATTCTCTAACCAGTTTGAGATTTTTTTACATAAAAAAAAAACAAGATTACTATGTATTACAGTACTAGTAGTACTTATTTGGACATGTAAAGAATCTGATGGGACAACAACAGGGCTTTATCTATCTGGATATGTCTCGTCCGAAGAGGCCGGCTATTCCCTTCTTGGGGTCGTTCTGCTTCACGATGGATTCACCAACCAAAACCTACACGAACCAACCACATTCACGTAGCAAGATTCAAGATTCAAGATCCAAGAATTCAAGAATTCAAGATTCAAGATCGAGCAGCCTATGGATGTCTGAAGCTTACCGCTCTAACACCGGCTTCTTGTACAAAGGCGATGTCTTCGGGTGTGAAGAGACCGGATTCTCCGACCACCTTTTAAGTGAATCAATATGATATCGTTAAGAACGGGTAATAAACCGAAGGGTTTGATTGTTTTTAAGGATGAGAACGAGAATGAGGGATGCAATGTAACTTACGATCATGTCTCTCTCTCGGATGACTCGACCATGCTCTCCTTCGAGAAGCTTCTTCGTGTTGCTTATGTCAACTTCGAACGTTCCTGTAACAACAACATAAACAAGATTGGTCCGAACTCTTTCCGACCAAAAAAATAACGGGAGATATTAGAGCAAACCCGGGTTTTTTTTACCGAGATTTCGGTTATTGATGCCAACAAGCTCGATCCCCTCGATTCCAAGAGCACGACCCATCTCTCTCTCGTCATGCACCTAAGGGTCGAACACGAAAATGAAAAAGGGTCCAGCAAAAACTTTCAACGCTCGATTATCTGATGAAGAGGAAGATACAGACCTCGACCAGTGCAGCGAGACCGAGCCTATTGCAGAGCTTAAGCATGTAAGTAATCTCGAGATCAGTCAACACGGCAGCAATAAGCAAAACCGCATCAGCACCTTTAGCCCGGGCATAGTAGATTTGGAACGGGTCTACGACGAATTCTTTGCATAATAAGGGGCACTGCAAAAGTAACAGAGAATCAAAGATTATACACATTTCATTACAGAAAGTCATCAACATTGTCTAAAGTACCAAAAATCGGGTTTTTTTTCAAAGTACATACCTTTACACCGGCAGTCCTTATTGCTTCCAAGTTTTCAAAGCCTCCCTGAAGAACCACCAAATCAAGACAGAACAGAACACTTATTGTCAGCAAAGTTCAAGCTCTGAGACATGACCTTAACATAACATAAGTTACCTTGAAGAACTTCTCGTCTGTTAAAACACTAAGACATGCAGCTCCACCGTTTTCATAAGCTTGAGCAATCTCAACCTGTAAAATTTCAGAAGCTTTAGACATCCAACCACTGTGATCATGACAGAATTGCGAGTTTTAATTATTGAATCAGATAAAAAAATATAAAAGAAAGAGATTGCAGCTCATGTATCACAACTCACTGGATCAAAGTTCTCTCTAAGGATTCCTCTGCTCGGAGAAGCCTTCTTGACTTCGGCGATCAAACCGGGCAGTCTGGTTCTTGCGTGAGCCGCTCTAAGCGCCCCAACGAAATCCCTCGTCGGAGGAGCATTCTCCATGGCTTTTTCCAGCTCCGAAAATGGGGTCTGCTCCTTCATCTGAAATAGGATCATCCTCAGATTCGCTATCAGGAAAACTCCATTAACAGAGAAGAAAAACCCCTCTCATTCTTACCCGCGAGACTTCTTCGTCTTTGTACCATATGATCTCCTCCAAGACGTCACGAGGAGATTCAGATTCATCCTCGCCCTGCAATCGCAATTCAAAGGGTCCAACATATCCCGAGGGCGCTTTTCTCGGCTTCCGTCTCCTTATCTTGATCCCTTGGCTTGAAGCTATTTCTTCCTGATACATCCCTATTTCCCACTCCTTGATTCTAAGAGCATTGTTGTCTTTGCCATCCACCGCAGAGGAAGCCATTGCTAATCCCTCCTTCAAATCCAGCATTGCCAAAGAAACATTCTTCAGATAAAGAGGAAAAAAACCCACATTTTTTGTTTGATTCGTGAGCTTTAACTCGGGTTCAGACTCGAGATCACTTGCCGGCACAGATGAATCCATTTAAGAACCAAAGATTCTAACATCAGGGCAATGTTTATCAGTACCTCATTCTCGGGACAGATTCGAACTTCTCTTGAATCAAATCAGAAACATGCAATAGATGTTGGCATAATCTGATGATTACTCAGAAAGAAACGAAAGACGAGAACTTCGTTTCTGGGTCATGGAGATATTAGATAGAACCAGTTCGATTCGAAGGAACAAGCTTCGATTACGTACCTGTTGAGCCCGAATCGGGGAAAACGACGAAACCCTAAGGCTGTTCTTCTCCATGGAGATGCCTGAAACCGACCGTCTGATCGAGACGTTAGTTACAGAACCGTGAGAGCGATACAGAGACGGCGAAACTACTCGAACATGAACCCTGCTCCCTGGACTTCGCAGCGAGAGTAATCCCTCCATTGTCGAAGAAAAAAAAAAGCTTCGATTTTCAAGCGGAGAGGAATCAAATCGCTACGATTTGCGGGTTCTAATGGGCCAATTTTTAAACTGATCGAGTAGTAGTAGTTGGGCGATGATTCTCTCACGTGCGTTAATACAGAACACAACGTGGGACATGACAAGAGGGTTTTGGTTGGTGAAACAACTGGTTTTTCCCCAAATTGCTTCCTCGTTCAGCTCCGTCACCGAACAAAGACAAGATCAAATCTTATGCGTACACTGAATGCGTCATCGAATCAATCTCAAACGGATTCTCAATCTCAGGTTGAATTCTTAACTTCTCGAGCTATCCAAGAAGAAGAACTCTCTGTTCCCCAAGTGTTGTTGGAATCTGAATCTTTAGGTCAAAGTGGTCATTAATGGTGTGCTTAGTTGATAAATCTTTGACCTTTCACTTTCTTTGCGGCCATGGAGTCGAATCATGTTCCGGGTTTAGATTTTTTTTTGGGGTTAAAAGCTGCCAAAATTTCAATTTTCTTCCAAAATTGAGAACCTGGTCTTAAAATTCTCGAAAGAACTCTCACCCAAGTCGGGAAAAAGAGTGGGAGGAAATGTCGGGAACTGCTAACCTTATCTCCTGCAACTCCTCTTCTGTTCCTCCTCTCAAACCCTCGAAACGAACTCAAACCCTTATAAGATCTCAAAACCTAGGTGTTCAGACAAAACCCAGTTCCGAATTCCGCGGAACAGTTTCAAAGCTCTCAGCTTTTCGTACACCCGACAAGATTTCTCCGCGTGATAGGCATTTCCCGCTGTACAATCGAAAGGGTTCCTCCCAGGTGTGCAAGAGCTCATTGAACGACCCAGATTCGGAGGAAAGTGGGACTGTAAGCGAAGAGAGAGATTGGACAAGCTCCGTATTGCTTCTGGTTCTGTGGGGTGCTCTTCTGTACTATGCCTTCAATCTTTCTCCTAACCAGACACCGGTATGAAATCGAACACAATCTGATTTCTCTGATTGTCTAAACTGTCTTGAGAAAGTTAGAACTGGTTTCTCTGTCCACAAACTGATTCAAATTAGGCTTCCTGTGTCATTCCTTCAAACTTTTGTCAGACTGACTCGGTTCAAGTCGCAATTTAGACAGCATGTGGATTTGTATTCGTGTTTCAGCTGGTTGTTTTGTCCAAGATACAAGATGTAAGAGTTCTTCAGTGGTAGCTTTGCTCAGTGATCTTATATTGGGTGTCTGGATGGAAGGATCTCCCATGTTCAGACATGGTGCAATTGTATAATCTGGACACATATATGGGAAAATACATTCAGAAATGAACCTGTGGCAATTTGGATTGTGCCAGTTTCATACGTCTGGAGTTCATAAATGTGGCACTGAACAAAGTTTTACTTGCCTGAAATCAAACCCAACTGTCATTTGCAGACACAAGACCTGTACTTTCTGAAAAAGCTTCTGAATTTGAAAGGGGATGATGGTTTCAGAATGAACCAGATTCTCACGTCTCTATGGTACATCATGGGTCTATGGCCTTTGGTATACGCCATGCTTTTGCTCCCTACCGGTTCAAGGTATTTTCCCGGTTTCCCTCCCCACATCGGTTATCTTTCTGACAACATAGTTTACAGGCTGGTTTTAGAATCTTGTCTATGGTTTTGTCCGGTTTGGCAGTTCTAAAAACAAAATCCCCGCCTGGCCATTTGTTGTGGCCTCGGTCTTCGGCGGCGTGTACGTTTTGCTACCTTACTTTGCTTTATGGAGCCCTCCTCCTCCTCGTGTCTCGGAGGCTGAACTGAGAAGATGGCCTTTGAATCTTCTGGAGTCAAAACTAACTTCCGGGGTAAGATCGTACACTCTCTCTTTCACTTGCCCGACATTATCGAGGGCAACCCTTTCTGCCTTTGAACTATGTGCTTTAGCTCTTCTCTTGTGTGGAAAATTGTTTATTACGAACATCGAAAATCCAATAATAAATCGGTAGAGAGGTCTTGTAGGTTATGATGCTTGTATCATGACTCGTACGTTTCAAGATTTGTATAAAGTCTCATTCTTTCGACAGAACAATGAACAAAAAACTCCAACCCTCTCCTGCATATCAACTTTGTTCTTCGTTCATCAGCCGTAGCTCCTAAAGTTACAATCTTAACCGAGTTTTCAGACTCAATTCCTTTGTGTGGAATCTTTTGCCTTGCTGTCGATTCACTGACATGAAAAGGAAAGAACACCGAATCCAGATCGAAAAACGAGTAGTTAAACATGTTTCTGGATTCATCACTCTGCCCCTTTTCGTGTATCAGATAGCTTTCCTCTCGGGACTGGCCTTGATTCTCTACGCGGTCGTCTTGAACGGAACCGACTGGACAGAGTTCTACCAGTACTTTCGGGAAAGCAAATTCGTAAGCTTTCGCCTTTCCGTCATTTTGATCTGAAGCGTCATTCTTTAGATCTTTCAGACCTAAACAGATGAACCTCTATACTGCAGATTCACGTCATGAGCCTTGATTTCTGTTTACTATCTGCATTCGCTCCGTTCTGGGTTTACAATGATATGACTGCTCGGAAATGGTGAGTTCTTCGTTACTACCTGTTCTTTTACACGTGTCCGTGACTCGTCTCCTCGAAAATTCGGCATCTTTTTCAGGTACGAGAAAGGCTGGTGGCTTCTGCCGGTATCTGTGGTTCCATTCCTGGGTCCATCTCTTTACCTTTTCCTCCGGCCGTCGCTGTCTGAGATACCGGTTTCGACAAATCCTGAATCATCCGAGCCAAGACAATGACGTTATCCGCTGGCTGGCCATGAATGAATTGATCTCGAGCTTTTGGACAGATTCAAGTCAGTTTCTCTTCTCAGACAGACGCCAGTAGCTGATGCAAGAAGGCTCGTATTCATATGTCAATGAAGCATGTTGCTTCAGAACTCTGTACGGATGGTAAAAGGAAAATGCGAGAGACTGACTGTGGATTCGGAATCAGATTCATCTGCTTTTTTGTTTTCATTTGTTCTGTCAGTAACTCCGATTTCTGGATGGGCGCGGATCGAATACCCGACCTCGGTTTCACTCCCTTGTGTATCTCGATCAATCTACTCCAATCTCAGCCTTGCAAGAGTCGGTATTCGGGCTTCGGGTACTGACAGGAAATCCAACCGACAAGGCAGAGGCCTGAAGGGTCCAGCGAGTGGGGTCAAAACAAAGGGGCAAAAGATCGAGATTTACCTGGTCCGAAGGCGAGACCCTAATGCCCTCTTGTCCCCTTCCCCGACATTGTTGCCTCACCGTTTGAAATCAGACTCCTCGTCCTCTCGCTGCAACCTCATGCCCCCTTGCCAGCTTATCCCTCTCTCCCTCAACTCGAATGATCCACGGTACAAACAAACGATGCTATCCGAACCCGATCACATGGCTCTAGTTCTCGTCCGCAAAAGGTTCGATCTAATACTCGTATTTTTTCTAGTTTTCCAAATTTCGGGTGATTGAGACATACGCTAACGAGAGACCATTTTGATTATTTACCGAATAGCTGAACTGATTCGAACCTAATAAGATACAACTGCAACGGAATCAAATCCAACATAAAAACTGAATGATTGTAACTTCTCTAAACCCAAATAAATCGAAACCAAACCTTTTGAAGAAAAAAATGATCGGAGAATCCGAACATATCTTTAAAAATGAATATTTTTACCAATAAAAACAATTGAATTCAAACCAAACCGAACCAAAATAAAGTTGATCTGAACCAATCAAGTATGATATAAAAACCGAATGATTATAACTTTTCTAACCCAAAACCCGAAGTGGCCAAACGTGGTTCGGGTACCGGCCCAACATTAAAACTGCAGGATATAAACGGATCGAGCGTAGTAAATTATTGACAAAAGTGAAAATCATTCAAGCAAAATATGACAGGAACACATCTTAGTCACATTGTCAACATTATTAAATCTGGCAATAACCAACCAAAGTAAATGCAGGATCATACCATCGCAAGTTTTTATGCTTTCAGCCGTACAGCTTCTGCAGTTCATCTTTGAACTTGCTCTTCAACTGTTCCCTCTTAATCTTGAAAGCAGCCGTGACTAATCCCGACTCGGGTGTCCACGGCTCGGGTACCAACTTTATCTTACCCGGCATCTCGAATTTATCAAGCTTCGATGATTTCCCGACCTGCATAAACATTCCCGAGATGTAACTCTGCGCCTGCATTATCGGGTAATCGAGTGTTTTTAAAGAGTTCTTTGCATAACAAAGACCTTAATCAGCGATTGCAGAACTTCATTTACGGCTTCAGGCTTCTCGCACAGCTCGGAGAAGTCATTGTACTTTACGCCAGATTCTTCTGCCCATTTCTCCAACGCTACTTGCGACGGAACGACGAGAGCTACGCAGTAATTGTGAAGAGGATCCGCATATACCATAATGTTGTCGAGGTAGTTGCTCGAACTCAAAGCCGCTTCTACCTGCAAAGTCCGGGTACCGCAAAAATGTATTGAGGATTCTCAGCTTGGTCCTCGGGCCGAGAGTTAAAAGGTTTTCGAGCGTTTACCTTCCCGAGGGATACATATTCCCCGTGTTGAAGTTTAATAATGTCTTTCTTTCTATCGATGATTTCGAGGCATCCGTCCGGGTGGAACCTCCCGATATCGCCCGTGTAAAACCAGCGCGTGCCCTTCTCGTCGACCTGTGAGGTTATCTCGGATGAGCCATGTGAATACATAGGAAGCATAAACATACACACCATGCTCGAAGGTTTCCACCTTGTAAACTTCGTCGGTTTTCGCTTGATTGTTGAAGTAACCCGCAGTTATGCTATGCCCACCGACTACAATCTCTCCCCGAGGCATCGGTTCGTCGGAAACCTTGTAGCCACCTTCTTCCCAAGAAACGAGCTGCGAGAACAAACAACAGGTCCTCAATTTTAGCCCGTCTCATGATTCGGGGTTGGCTTAAATTCGGAATAGAGCATTTCAAAACCTTAATATAGCAGCAAGGAAGAGGCGGGCCAACACGGCCAACGGCAGGGTCATCCCACTCGGAAAAGGTGGCTCCAGCACACGTTTCCGTCAATCCGTAACCTTGACCAATCGGAGCCCTGTAGGAGAAACAATGGCGCAACACAACAATCCGTCACCCGAAAATGAGCGATTCCGGTTTATTAATAAATCGGTTTTCCTACTCATAACAGAGGCCGAAGATTTTCGGTTCTTACCCCATGCAGATATTGATGAAGCGTTGTGAATCGGAAGATAAAGGAGCTCCTCCGATGAGCATATACCGAATCTCTCCTCCGAGCACAGCTCGGATTTTCTTGAAGACGACAGCATCCCATAACATCTTTTCCAAACCCCAGGCACCGAGCCAGCTTCCCTCCACGGCCGCTAACCGACGCTTGTACGCAAAATTGAAGAGGGTTTTCGCCATTCCTCCTTTCTCCTCGACCTACAGCTCATAGCTCGGAATGATCAGTATACTGTTTGTAACGATACACATGTCTTCGTGCTATCAAAGACGGTACCTTTTTAAGAACTCCTTCACGAACACGGTCCAAAATAGCCGGAACTGCGGTCATGATAGTCGGCTTTAGCATCGAAACATCTCCTTTGGTTCCTCTCTTGATTTTATTCGAAGTGTCGGTCAATGTCAATGCAGTTCCATATCCGATGGCACAACCCGAGGCGAAGATCACGGTCTGAAAAAGACCAGAAAAACAGTTAGTAAGACAGGAAAAGACAAAAAGTTGACATTTTGGAAGATGGGAGGTAAGAAGAACAAAAACCTCAGCTTCGAGCTCGAACACATGAGCCAAAGGCAAGTAAGCGACGTAGATATCGTTCTTAGTTAGTTTCGGAATCACCCTCATAACTCCAGCAGCTGTTGCCACAAGATTTCCATGAGTAATCATGACTCCCTGAGCGAATATGCCGGAAAGAAATTAGTTTTACGGTAATCGTTTTAACGTAGAGAAGAAGGGTTCTTCGGGAGATGGCACTACCTTTGGAAGACCAGTACTACCACTGGTATACACAATAACCGCAATCCCGTTCTTGGTAGGCAAGCTCGGTGGAACAGGGTTCTTCTCCCCGAGTTTCTCGACCTCGGAGAAAGAAGAAACGTTCCATTTGTTCAGGCTTTTAAGCTCGTCTGGATCGATATCCACTCCGTCTTCTTCGATGTAGATAATGTTCTGTATATTTTTCAGACTCGAGCTTATCGGGGACAGCTTTTTCAGCTGCTTCGAATCGCATATCAGAGTCGAGACTTGGGTCTGTCAAAACGTTATACGACGGATTAGAAGTGCAATGCTGAGTTTATAATCACATTCAAAAGCGATAATTATCATAAACAGACCTCGTTCAGCGAGTAAATTAAGGCCTCCTCCCCTAAAGAAGCATAGATAGTGACAACAGTAACACCCTGTCTGAAACATCCCTGGAAGATGACAAGACCATAACAAAACACCATCAATGGCAGAAGGGTTTGAACAAGTTCGGGGTAGCTTGGTAAGAAAAACGATGGATGGGATCTGAAACATAGAAGATGCATAGATGAAAGAACCTGAAACGCAAGGAACCATTCTGCTCGGGTGTCGGAAAAAATGGCGATGCGGGTATCAACATCATGGCCGAAGTTGACAAGCCCAGATGCGAAGTTGCAGACACGGTCGAAGACCTGTCCATACGTTTGCCACTGATACTCTCCGAGATGTAGCTTCTCAAACTTCCGGCCATCACTAGCGGTAACAAACTCCTTGTTTATGAACTTCCTCGTACCGATAAACCGATCTCTCGAATGCTTCTTACAAGACAGCTCAAACAGAGCAGCCATGGTCGTGGCGCCTGTCCATGGAACTTCCACAAGCTCAGGAGCTCGAGCATGTCTCATGGCGTAACCTTCTTCCCCGCCAACTTTTACCGGAACCCCTCTCTTTCTGCCTTTCTTACTTCCTTTGAAAACAACAGAGAGCATCAATGGAAGAAGCAAGGCCACGACGACAGCGCCGATGATTTCGTAAGCTCCGAAATCTCTGCTTTGAATCTTCTCCATTGATGGAGAACCCAAGTGATTCCCTTCAGAATCCTCCATAGACACTCCTAAACGAAAAATAACACTGACCCAAATGATGAATCGGCGTGATCAACCAAACCCTAGACGATCAAACACTCTCTCCACGAAACAGAGAAAAACCTGACGAAAGATTGATCGCAACAGCCAAACGAATCACAATTAAAAAGAACCCAGAAATCAAAACGAGTCTCAAACCTGTTAACGCCGGTCAAACGAGATGAATCGAAGATAAAGGAACGGTCTTCTCAGATTTTCCTGAGACTTTCTTCGAATCGGATTCCAGAAGAAGAAGAAGAAGAAAAGTAGCCTCCTCCGCCATGTGAGCTACGAATAAAGCTTGAATAAGTACACCAAAACGACATAGTTTGGTTGCTTCCCGAAGATTGTGAGGATGCCACGTGGCAGATGATGAGAGGCAGTGCCACGTGGATGTTCTGACCTTGTATTAGTGACTCGGGCACCCATTTCGATATTCCATTAAATTCCATATTTTAAAGTACATTATTTACGGCAGAAAAAAAAAGTACTTCTCCAACATATTAATTTTAAAATAAATATTTATCACATTTTCCCATCTCTGCTATTCCATACTTTATACAGTAATACATTTAATAAAAAAAAAACTAAACTAATCAATTTATATGTTCTCATAAGTAAAAAGTATTAATGTTGATATAATATATAAAGATATAAAGATTTCCATTATATATATAAATTTTAAATAGGTTTTCAGTTAAAACACAAACTCAAGTAGTCTTAAATAAAGGGAGTTGATTCAGTCTTAAACTGTAAGCTTGTCAATTTATTTAGCTGTCCAAAACTCTGTTAAAGATCCTTAATTGCACCAATATTAAGATTAATTAATGTGTAATGATATGTGTTTAGACCATAATTAACATATCTATAAATCACATTAACAGATTAGGCTAAAATAAAAAAAAGAAAAAGAAATAAATCCCTCTCCGGGTTTGGTAACTTTTGCTAAAGAGAGATATTTTCATCATCCATGACCCTAGATAGACATCATCATTATTGAAATAGAGACATTAGAATATGATTTAAATCCTAAGTTTATATCTTAATCGACCACCTCCATTGATGCTCCTTTTTCCATGGAGACAACAGCTGGTTGCAACTTCATAATACCCTTCATGAGCTATGAAATATCACCAATAAAACACGAACTTTTAAATTTGATAAAAAAATACACAGATTTTTAATTTTATAATGAAATACAAAAATCTTAAAAATTTTCGCATAAATCCACACAAATTTTGAAATTCTTTACATAACTCACACAAAAACACAAATGACGTTAATGTTTGTATGAGTTAATGCAAAAAATTATAAAATTTATGTATTTATCTGCCAAATTTAATATATATATATATATATATATTGCGAAAGTCCCAATAATCTAATCACAGACTTTTTCATTCTTGTTTTCAGTCTCTCAGCAACAATATTCTCTAAACACTCTCATTTATTCTCTAAAAAAACTTGCTCTAATAATCACTAGAGACTTCTCATAAGCAAAACCAAGGACTAGATAACATTTGAAGAGGTTTCTTCTGCAGAATCCACGATTTTCGGGCAATCAAAACGGCTACCTTTACGCGTTAACTGTGTTGAATTGGATGTACTTTAGTCCGTATTCTGCAACATGTCTCGAGTTCTGGAAATACTTAACTAGAGGAGGCCAAGAACCCGAGGAAATTCCCGGTCTGCTCATGAGAATCAATTGGAACCTCGACGGACGCTTTCTTCCGTGCGGGCAAGAGCATCGGTTATCACATCTATCGTCCAATTCTTCAAGTCCTCCTAATGAAAGAATCATGTTTCTCACGACTTGTTATCTTTGGAAATCATATAAATCAGAAAGAGTGAGTGAATGAGTGATGAATTACCTTTTGGACAGGCTCTCCCGTTCTTATACGTGCGTTTGGACGAGCAAGCTTGGACTCAAAGGGGGTCCTCGGCCTTACTTCCCGAAACTCTTCCCACTCCTCTCGGGTTAGCATCCTCACCGTTCCTTGACCAGGTGGGGCGTCTTTTATTTTGCGTTCAATCGTTTCTTGGGATTTTGACTCATCAATCTGGAAACACCGAGGAACAATTGAGAAAATGGAAACCCTCCACACCGATTTAAATTTAAACCACTCGCTTGCCAAGCAACACTTGATAATCTCGTATATCTACTAAGTTTTTCTATAAGATCTCTTCCATAGGAGATCAAGAACAAAAAAATTTACCATCATCAAGATCTTGGCAAAGAGTGCGATACCAGCCACAGCAAGATACATAGGCAGGGTTGCTGTGTCCAGGAACGATCTAGATTCTGGAACATCAACTAGAAACTCGTTCTTCTTAGGATTCTTCCTCGTCTTCCCCTTTCTTACAGCAGCTACCCTTTCTCTTAAAGTCTCTGTTGGCGCATCGTTAGACAGCGAATGTGAACTTCTCCTCAACAGCATGAACAACTGATTCCGCTTTGACATAACGATTAGCAATCGGGATTGTCTTTACCTATACACCGAAAAGAAACAAATGTATGTCAGTGAAGTGAAGTGAACTTTCTCGGCATTATTTATGGGTTAC